ATGAGCTGACAGGCCACGACAAGACAGTCACGGGTGTCGACATTGCCCCCAACTCTGGCAAGATTGTGACGTGCTCGCAGGGTAAGCTTGGAGCTATCGGCTGGCTTGCAACAGGCAGCTAATCAATGGGACAGATCGCAATGCCTACGTTTGGGAGCCGTCACCGCAGGGATGGAAGCCTACACTGGTGCTTCTCCGCATCAACCGCGCTGCTACCTGTGTTCGCTGGGCTCCCTCCGAGACCAAGTTCGCAGTCGGTTCTGGTGCTCGCCTGATCCCCGTCTGCTACTTCGAAGAGGAGGACAACTGGTGGGTCTCCAAGCACATCAAGAAGCCCATCCGCTCCACCATCACCTGTGTATCCTGGCACCCCAACTCTGTCTTGCTCGCTGCAGGATCGACCGATGGACATGCTCGTGTACTCTCTTCCTTTGTCAAGGGCGTCGACGAGCGTCCAGAGCCCTCAGCATGGGGGGAGCGTCTACCCTTCAATACCGTGTGCGGCGAGTACCTGAACAACACTGCAGGTTGGGTCCACAGCGTTGCCTTCTCTCCGTCGGGTAACGCCCTCGCTTTCGCATCCCACGACAGCACCCTCACCGTCGTCTACCCTAGCGGTCCTGAGGAGGCCCCCCGTGCTATCCTTAGTGTCAGCACTCAAGTGCTGCCCTTCATGTCCCTAGTCTGGACCTCTGAAGCTGAAATCATTGCTGCGGGATACAACTGCGAGGCCTATCGTCTGCAGGGCGACGAGTCTGGCTGGAAGCTTGCTGGAAGCCTGGAGGCCAAGAGCCGACCTGGTCTTTCTGACCAGCGTGAGGAAAGCGCACTGAACATGTTCAGGCAGATGGATCTCAAGGGCAAGTCGGGCACGGATGACACCAAGCTCAAGACTGTCCACCAGAATACCATCAACACTATCCGTAGCTTTGAGGAGAGTGGAAGCGGTGTCACCAAGATCAGTTCTACTGGCGTGGACGGAAGGGTTGTCATCTGGACTTTGTAGGCACAGCTTTATGGACTCGAGTCATTTTGTAAACAGAAAAAATCAATTCTCTCGCACACTGTCAGCGAGAGTGGAGTGGCATCTAGGTAGCCAGGATATCAAAAACACCTTGAATAACCATACCACCTGGACCCAACTGATCTCATGGACGCGCCCGTCCAGATGCTTCTAATATCTTACATTGCCCTACACTTTTCTCGCACACAGCTAGTCTCTCATAGCAAACGTACGTGCATCCCAGTAAACGCCAGCCCTCATGTAATTCGCTTAACCAAAGCCAGGGAAACCTTGCGCATTGAAGTCAAGCGGTACAGTGGGAGCTGGAGCACCGCCGGCGGTACCCATCCCTTGCGTCGTTTGCGCATCGTTCAAAAACCAAGACCAATCCTGATCGATATCCATGGGCATGTGTTGCCATGAGAAGTTGTTCGTTGGGAGAGGGAAATTGTTCATGCTATCGTCGTTGATCTGTGAGTTGAACGTGCCTGATGCAGCAGCGCCTGTTGCCGACGCGTCGTCTGCGTTGATGTTGTTCCAATTGTAGAAGCCATCATATGAGACAAAGGGCGACGCATCGGTGAGATTGAAAGCCGAAGTACCGGTGCCAGCGGAGATGGACGTCTTTGGCGTGACATTAAGGGACTGTGTAGGTTGCGAGAAGATGTCTGATGCAGAAGACTGCGACGGCTTCTCTGACGTGGGTGTGTAGAGTTGTGCTGATGTAGCTGGTGACCTGGAGCTCACCATGCTGGGGGAGCAAGCCGGTGGCATCTTCTTGACTAACTGGCCCCCTCTCTTGATAGATATGGTACCAAAGTATGGAATGACAAAGTCGGATTGGTCGCCGCATCCCTCATGGTCGAGGCTCGTGCCTTTGAATTTGCCCAACATCTTCTCGAGGACCTGTGCGGATTGCGCGGCTACTTTGCCTCCCTTTTCGCTCGACGCGCGATGGAAGATGTCGATGCTGACCTCGATGAGGCGTACGTCTTCTTCGATATCCTTGGGCGTGGGACCGCTACTCGAAGACTGTGAGACCATGCCGAAGTTGAGAAGACCGATTATGACAAGAACTGCGGCCGTGAAACCGATAAAGTCGATGGCCTTGCACTCGTAAAGTGGCTGGATGTGTCCGGTTCGTAGAGACTGATATAACCGTAGGACTTCTCGCGAGCCGTTCAAGCATGCAGTTTTTGAGTATGAGAAGCGCGAGTTTGACGCCGCCTTGAGCATGAAGGGCAAGTGCAGGTATACACGGATCTGATGGAAGATCATCTGACCCATGATTCGCTCTCGCAATTCCGCCGCATTCGATTCCGCGTCAGCAAGTAACTCCGTGTAGTCGAGCCACGCTGGATCGAACCTCTTCCACAAGTCCTCGAGCTCTTGGTCCAGCTGTAGCGCCCAGGCAAAAGATTGCTCGGCAACTCCCTGGTTTCGATCGATGACCCTGCCTGCGAGCTGTGAGAGCTTTGTGATGCCAATCAATGGATGAATGTAAGGGCCTTCGCTAATCTCAGGCATGGTCAAGTCGCAGTGTGCATCGCTAATCCCGTACGGCAGACCCAGCAAGAGGGACAAGAAACGGTCACCATGGTACATAGCCCACCAGATGCTCTCGTGTGGAGCGGAGGATGTGCGCTTGCGATGCAGTCCCTTTTTCGTATAAGTCAATGCTGGACGACAATCTAGGAATGCATGAACTTACCATGAGCTGGGCATACATTAAGCCTTTCCGGTATGCGATCCAAGCTCTTCGTGGTTGGCCTACATCCGCGTACCACTTGGATTTCAGGATCAGACACTCTAGACCCTCCAAGCTTGCGGCATACTCGTCGTCAGACAGGAACCATCGGTCCACAGCCTCGATGTAGCGTTCGACATCGTCATCGTTCTCCGATGAGCATATACCAACCGACAAAACAACAGTAGCAATAGCTCCGATGTTTCCAGTTGTCAGAGCCTGAGCAGCAAACTGAGGGAGTGTTTGCTCAGGACCAGATGTGCCGCTGCATTTCCTCCGCCATGTCTGCCACCAGTCACTGTTGGAATTCAAAAGTTTGGTGAGTTGATCGTAAGGCGGTAGCATGGCAATGAGTGCTTGCTTGGACTTCTCTCGTTTGGCAGAATGCGCGATGGTGTTTCCAGCCGCGATGTCGTCATCGTGTCTGTTTTCCACAGTGTACCGGTCGTCAGCCGCTTGGCCGGGCCTTGGTGTTGAGCTCTGTGCAGGGCCATTGCGGGCTTTCGCTTGAGCCTCAGCATCGTTCAACTGTAGATAATAAGCTTCCAGATCGGGTTCAAAGAGTGGAAATACATACTGCATCTTCGAATACAGAGAGGATCGGTATGTGGTGACCTCGGTCCGAAGCGGCACGCTGATTATCCGGCAATCGGAATACGTTGGATGAAGCTTCTGAAGAAAGAGGAGTGGGCGGAAATGTATCCTTGTGGTAGATAGTGGGCGCTTTTGGTGATGAAGTGTCCGCTACGCTCTGACTTTGACTGCGGCTTTCTGACTTTACAGTTTTGTCTTCAAGCAACGTATCAACCAAGGCCTCCAGTCGCGATACTCGTTCACGAAGATTCTTCCTATGATCGACAATGACCTCTGGGTTGGCATGTTCTTGGTCGATGCACCTGCTGCCGCGCGCGAAGCATTCTGAGCAAACATCCGGGTTGTCGGGTTGGAAGATGCATCGGATCTTGCGGCGGCGACCTGTATTACATCAGAAAGGCTCACATTATGCTTATGATGAGACGTAGAGTGGAGATTGAGGTTGGCGTAGTGATGCACAGGCGAGACGAGAGTAACAGTGATGGATAGCAGTATGGTGAACAGTAATCATTCAACGCGAGGCAATAACTGGATCCACATACATTCGAAGCAGCTATGCGTACCCTTACGCATCTTTTTGCGTGTCGGCAACGTCTCCTCCTTTGGCATCTCGATTCGTTGTGTTCCAACCACCCAGATCGTGCGAACCTAGCTCTTACGACAAATTCGTCCGGACTCGGCTCTGCACGAGCAAACCGGATCACGGAAGTTTGATGTTATATAATCGCGTCCGCAACTCGATTCCTCCTGCGGAATAAACGGATCAGGCCGACGAGAAAGAGATAAAAGATGTCAATAGTAGCAAGAGGATAGACGTCAGCTTCTGGTGGTGATAGGGTTTCAAAGCAGAACGAGGAGGTCCGGAGGTGATTTCGTCCGTTAGGGCCGTGTATTAGGTCAGCGAAGGAAGCTGAATAATGCCGCGCAACGGCCGTCAAAGCACTATTGCTGACTACAGAATCTTATAGAAAGCCAGGCTTTCCAGGCAGCAGTTTATCCTGTGTTTTGGAGCGGACTTTCGGCGACTCGGTCGAGTCGGGGCTCCTCTAAATCCCGTTCCCCATTCGGCCAAATATGCGAGAAACGAGTGCGAATGGATTCCGGGATACATTGGAGGCTAGCCCGAGGCTGTGCTAATGCTTGTGTTGATCTCGAAACATGGAGTTTGCGGATAATACCGATATGACACGACTTGGCGATGCCCACGGATTGTACACCTGCCTGGTGCCCCGTATACGCGTATTCTACCCCGCGGGAGGCCCCGCGACCCTCGTTCCCTCGTTCATGATGGGGACCTTTGTTCGGGAGGAAATGGGCCCGCTATCAGCATCGTAGTCTGGACCCATTATGACATCGTTTTCAGGGTGCTTGCGTGGAACACGGGTCGACGCGAGCTAGCAGCCCTATGAACGGATAGTGGGCACGCATCGTCATTCCGAGCTCAGCCGCATCATACCTAAGAATACCACAATCTTGATGTTCATCTCTCCAAATCCAAAGCCCTAACCAAAAAAGACCTACCAACCTTGCTGTACAGGTTCTCGGTATTATGGTCTGATCGACAACCTTGAATGATTATTCCTGGAGTCTAGATGCGCTTGCTGCAGTCCACAAGTTCATTTGAGCAACATGTCTGCAGCACACAACCATCGTCATATGCAACATCTTCCCCCGAGCCCACCACCGTCGCCTCCATCTACACGGCAGAGAAAAAAGAAGAAGCCCGATCCTTTTGAACAACTCGCAACTACACCAATACCCTCGCTGCCCTCTTCTCCAGCAAATGAGCTTAACGACGACCAAGAACCCCTTCTGAAACGAGTAAGCCATATCGAGATGTCAACACAGTGTGAGCGATCCTAACACTCCTTCAAGATTATACTCACGCCCGTCTTGTTCACATCCTTCCTCCTCTCTCTCTTCCTCGTCAACTACCGCAATCGCGCCCGCCGAACAGAAGCACACTCACTCAGCTTCTCCCTCCTCGCGTACCTCGCTCCATCCAGCTGGCTCGATCCAGAGCCCTACCAAGATCCTGATGATTCGAAATGGGGTAGAAGGGGGACCACTGGACATGTTGAGCCCCATGACGCTATAGGTCCCCGGTCAGACGAACAAGACGATGAGAAACCGAAGAAACAGAAGAAGAGAAAGTCGTGGCATCTGCATAGAAAGATCAGGAAAGTGGCCAAGCTGGAGATAGGCGATGCGCTCGAGATGCGAGGCCGCATGATTGTTGTCATGCTTGTAGTATTGGGATTGGCTTGTGCAATACTGTGGATGGGTGTTAGGTGGGTTATCGTCTTAGCATCACAGCGGATGTATGGTGTAAAAGCCTGACCACTGGAGCGAGACAACTGCCTTCCTGTCCATGATACGTACAATGCACGAAACGCAATGAAGTATTGATCGATTCTTGGAATTGTCTGAGAATGGGAACTCTGTGCCAGAGCTACCAAAGGAAGAGGAAAAAATGCGAACTGGAGTCGTCGAGAAGCCGTTCCATCATGAGAATATGTTCATAGGCGCATCAGTCATACAAACATCACCAACAAGTAATCCAAGAACAAATACAGTCGATCTATAAAGCTGGGTATCGCACCTTTTCAACGCCGGTAACCATCTGATCATAACTTCGAAGAAATATAGAGAACTCATTGGAAGACAGCATAAGAAAAAGGAAGTCTGCTCGTCAAGGCCTCATGGTAAAGAGGCGCGCGACGAGTCGGTCGAAGAAGTACCCCATATCCTCATCTTGCCTCTTCTCTTTGGCTTTCTTTGCCAGGTAGTTCGATGTTTCCGCCTTTTTAATTGCCTCCCGCAAATTTTGGATGAATGCATCTTCGGGTGTACCTGTCTGGTGAGACTGCATTGACTCGCCCTCCCAGTCTGGTCTGAGTCTGGCGTGGCAACCAGAGAAGCACGCGCGATAAAATTCGAGTAGTGATTTCACACCATGATCGTCGATTTCTACGTCCTCTTCAGTAGAAGGTGAGCGTGTGGCGTTGTAGCGGTTATGATATGGCAGTTTCGCAGCGTGGTAGTGAATAGACTCTACCGTCATCAGGACAGTGGTAAGAACAGCCAGAGCGATGGGCCACTCGTCGCAGTCCTTGTTCAAAAGAAGTTGCTCCAATGATGTGAGCACATCCTTCATCAAGCTAAGAGCAAGGCCGGGCATGATCGCACCAAATTGCGAACGAATAAAGCAAGGTGTAGGAGTGAGGTCCTGGGGTATATCCATCGTACTGCGGATGAGCTGCTCCAACATGGAGCTCTCTGAGCGTGATGGAAGCGTTATATCACCGCCAATGTGCACCAGCACAAGAAGCTTGAGTGCCTGGTGTAGTATGCGGTAGTGAGGGGAGCTTGCTGGAATAGATCGCGAAAAGACGTAGATATCGCGTAGGATCCTCAGCGGTGAGCAGTATAGCGGGAACGCACGGAAGTGATGCGCTACTAGTAGCGACAAGTGAGAGTCTAATGTATTCAGCAAATGGTATTGTGCATCAGCTGTTAGCACAGCCGGGAGAACGGCGTGCTTGTGCGAAGGACCGGTGTAGGGCTGTGGTGGCCAGGAGTAAATGATGTGCTCGTGCACGAGGGGATTGTCGTCGTTGAGTTGTACGGCATGTACCGAGACAGGAAACGTTGGTCCGAAGCCAAAGTTTAGAGGAAGCGTGTAGGTAGCCTCTTTTGAAATTTCGAAATTACCAGCCGGAACGAAGGATTCCAAGGGCCGAGTGGTTGGATGCCAACCTAGGCGGTCAGAGAGGAATGCCGCAGAAAGGTCAACAAGAGTATGGTCTCGACAAGGGTGGTTGACTAAATCCCCTTTGTAGTGTTCGAGACAAGCTCTGCACGGAGTACCAGGGTCACACTTTTCCTTCCGTCGTTGGCAATTCGAGCAAGCGCCAACAATCCGCATCAACGCAGCATGGCGGCGCTGCTCAGCAGTCAGGGCTCTCTTCCGCCCTTTGGGAGCCCGACCTGGCATACCCTCTGTGCTCGTGGGTGCTAATCGGTGCGTCAAAGGGTTCGGGTGATAAGACACCCAGCCATAGGAGTCAGGCGAGGGGGACGGAGTGGAGGCTTTGCGTCGAGAAAGCGATGCGCTTCTAGACAAAGCAACACCGCGAGGGTAACGTGAAGTTACTGGCGATACTGAGAGTATAGGAGGAGGTCTTCGTACTGATGCAGAGGCTGATGTTCGGTTGTTGTAGTAGGTAGGTCCAGGTGTAGCATCAGGAATGGTGATGGCTCTGCTGCGATTGTGTAGCTCATATTCGCCATCTGATCGTCGATAAGACGGCAGTGCCGAATTGTAGTTCTGCGAAAAAGAATTTGGAATGGCAATCGGCTCGACTTCTGCTCTGCCCCCATCATCTTCTGCGATCGGTTCGATGATCCGTGGCTGATCTGCCCATGTACCAAGATTCGAGAACAATCGGGAGGCTCTCACATCCAGACCACTGAAGGAATGGGAAGAGTCCGTAACATAGGGGTTGAAGACGGTTTCAGTTGTGCTCTCGAGAGAACCAGGGGTGAAGGTTTCCGGGATACGATCGTAGCGTGTATCCAAGATAGGCGAGTCGTTGATAGCACCTAACGGTGATAGGAGGCTGCTGTCGCACGCACCAAACGATCCAAAGTACTGACTATCTGCTTGGACAGCTAGCGGAGAAGTTGATATGGTGTCAAAGGACAGTGAAGTTCCATTTGCATGTTCGAACGATGACTGTCCATCTAGGATTGATGGCGGGCCGGAAACCGTATACTCGAGTGACGGAGGTTCGTCAACGACCGAAGGAGGTGCTGATACTAAATATGTAGGCTCGGACGTGTAGCTTTCCGATAGCTGGTGGCCCGCAACGTAGCTGCCTTCTTGAGCCCTTGTATAACTGGTTTCTCCTTGGAAAAGAGGGTCATACAGTTCATCGTCCCAATCAACGAGCTCCTGCCAGCTTTCGTTCAGGGAGCTGATATACGGAAAGCGAGACATTCTTCAGGTGGATCAACGGTGTTGTGTGTCAGGCTGAAGGGCAAGGAACAACCAAGAGTGGATGAAGGCCGTAAGGTTCACCCCTTCGCTGAGGGTCTCATGCGATGAGCGATGACAGCGTGTAGAGTACGGAAGCTGGAATGTTGCGCCGGAAGACGATAGCTGTCTGAGTAACACCAATTAATTTCTCCAGGCTGCAAGGTGGCCAAAGTTATATTCCACGCGCAAGTTGGGGCAATGTCAGGGTGCGGCTGACTTGACTGCCTTGCATCAGAGGCCGCCAGGGCAATTGACGAGTAGTCGTCAATGGCCTTATCACGTTGTAGCTGCTTATTAGTCAATGACTAGAACTTGCATGTAAATGGCCGCGGGCCGTTGGTGCTGGAAGCTTTGTGTCGAAGGTATGATGTCTTGGGGCTGGTCGGCAGTGCCATCTGACCATGCGCGAGTCTGCAGCGTGGCGGCCGGTCAACTCAATCTGTGGTAGCCCTGTCACCGTGCTTTGCCGGGTAGTTCTCCCCGCTGTATACTAACAAATTAACATCGAATCAGCATGGGAGACGTGAGCGACGTGCAACCTAGCGCCAGTCGGCCGGTTCGACACATCTGCGCGATTTTGGTACACCATGTCTAAGAAGGCAGGCTTCTGGAAAGACTTCGCCTCATTGTGGCTGTGAGCGGTGCGGCCAGTCGAATAATCTCCGGCCATGCACATGTTCCTCCACAATAGGTAATCGAGTAATCCACTTCCGTTGCGCAGTTCGACATCTGTTAGACGTCGCTGTGTAAGGTGTAGAAAGGACGGCTGCCTATACTGGGTATGCGGAGGCATTTCGGTATGGTAAAGCCTACGTTTGCCGAGCTGGACCAACACCTTGACCCTTTCGGATGCAGTGTCTTGCTTTCTTTCGCGCGCGATAGCAGGACTGCTACGCGGAATCCCTGACCTCGGCTATGAGGGAGCTTGTCCTTGACGCCCTCCCCCAGATTACCGTGAACACGTAGATGGGGTGATCAGGTCAAGCGAACGTCTAGCCGTGTTGAGTAAATGACACCCCTTCAGACCAACGCCCTACACATCGCCAAGCAAGAAGCAGCCTGACAAAGTGCCTTACAGCCGGCAGAGCAGCTGCGCCGTGGGCTCATCAATTTGTCCCTGCACTAGATGCTGCAGTAGTACGTGCTGGTATGCATGCACTCCACTCGTACAGATATGTAGCTAGCGAGCCTCACTCTTTCTTTGCATGTGTTTGCGGCTCTGCGCACTCACTTCCCCTTCGGCTCAAACAATACACTGACGTACTCTGCTTTGAAATCGTCAATTGCGCAGAGACAACTGCATGCCCGACTTCTCGGGTATGACACGATAGGATCCTTCAACAGCCATTTCATCAAGTCACCAAGCGAGAGCGGATGCGACTGTGTTGCAGAACTCAACATAATTATACTTGAGGACCCAACGCCGAAATGACGGAGCGGGTCCAGCCCAAAGGAGTATTAGGGCAAGTAATTTGGCCAAAAGATACCAAAGCAAGCAACGCAGACAAAGTATGGCCGTGACAGTACGTATATGCGGACAATAAGACATGCGAATATGAGATACAACAGAAGAAGCCGAATCCTAAGCAAGACATGTACAGGAACAGATACACCGAGCCCACCCGAAATAACCTTTGACTTGATGTCGGGTATCATCTAAAAGGAAGAAACGTATGGAGCAGCATGGTATCGTACAAGAGTCGACCACGAAACTACCTTTTCCCCCATTGTAGTCAGACATCGATCATGTCATCAGATCCCTGACTTGGTGTCGGATCAGAACAAGACCACGCGCGCATGCGGACGATAATGTCGAGATCCGGATCCCCGTCTAGTCACGAAGCCTCGTTAGGAGCATAGAATAGAACAATCTCGCCCCTATCATTTCTTCGGAGACGTAGATCCTTCCAGAGCTCTTTCTCGTCATCAGCCTTGGAGGGCGCGCGGGCATGGTGCTCGTGACGCTCGCGATGATACCGTTTCAGAGCCTTGTTGACACTCATGCCGCGCTCGGAGTCTGGACCCTTGGTGATGAAGGACATGAACAGTCCTGCAGGCGAAGAGATAGGTGCCACGTCTCCGGTGGGCCGCACAATCAGCTGGCCTTGGCCATCTGGCTCCGGAGAGTTTGTTGCCGAACGATGGTACTCAATGGCCTTGACCGCTTTGCTCTCGCGCGGTGGTGGCGACACAGAAGACGAGTATTGCCGACGACGGACTCGGCGAACCTCAGTTGTAGAATCCTCGCGCTTCTTCTTGGGCCTGATCTTGACGAGAGCAGTGCTAGCCTTGCGCTCTTTGCGCTCCTTATCGCGGCCCCTGTCCTTTTCCTTCTTCTCTGCTTGCTCACGAGCCTTGGTGTCAGCCTTGCGCTGCTTAGCTTGCTCCGCCTCGTATTCTCGCTGCGCGCGCATAAGAGCCTTCGAGTTACCCTGCTTGGCGCGTTTCATGGGGCTCAGAGGCGAGTTGACATAGTCACCAGAGTCATCCGGCGAAGGTGGGAACTCAGGTCGGGCAAGCAGTCTGTTCAGCCCTCCAGTGAGACCAGAGTGAAGCGTCGCGGGCGCATCTGCCATCATAGTGTCTCTTTCCTCCTGGGCGCGGACTAGCGACATATCGAGTTCACTGGGCGAATTGCGCTTGCGCTTGCGATCGGTTTTCTTCGACGTGGTTTCAACATCCGTGTCGCGCGACTTGTTCCTCGAGTGCTTTGACTTGGAGGCAGGTGTAGTGTACGAGTCGTAGCGCTCATTGGAAGGACGAACTTGCTCGTTCCCGTACGAGAAGCCGTTTTGTGCAAAGGACTCGTCGTCGTCGGGCACCTGGAACTTCATGACGTCGGCGATTGTAGGCATGTACTGCTCCTCGTATGCAGGTGGCTGACTGTCTTCAAGCATGCGCGCTTCGTTGATGGGCGCGCTCGTTCTCGGAACATTGGGTGTCGACGAGGGGTCAAGGAAATCGAAGACATTAGGAGCCTCAATAGCCTCTTGCTGGTGATAGCCTAGAGAGTGCGCCGCTGGCGGAGGAGTGGGCGCACGAGGCGGGGCATCCACGACTGCGACGGCGTTGTCATCATTGCGCGCTTCTTCGACGGATGCGTTGTGAGGAGTGATGGCTTGAGAGTTGTCGTGGTAGGCGCTGTCTCTCTTCTGTTGCGGGCCCTTCTTCTTCTCTTTGTAGAGTTTGCCCTGGTACTTTTGGTCTTCGGTTATGCAGGCCTACCATGTGTCAGTTAGCGACTGCGAAGGGTGAAAAATTGAATACGGCGCAATGCGCGACGCGGGCGCACAAGTTGCAACAGTCGCAGCGTGCTGTTCTAGCAGCAATGGGTCGCCATGTAGGGCAAGAAAGGTATGATGCGTACCGTATGAGATTTGTACGAGGTTCCTGGGAAGTGGACCATGCAGTCGAGGCAGGTAAAGGAAGCGCCATAGCATTGGTTACGATGCCCGTCAAGCTTCTTCTTTGTGAGGACGTCTCCACAGCCCTAGACCGTCACAGTAAGCCTTCAATGCATCTCCAGGGAAGGGGCCAATGGTGGGGAGAATATGGACATGGGGCTCAAGTAAGTACCTCGCAGGAGAAGGACACCATGGTGGAAAGATGAGGGTCGATAGACAAGTAGCGGTGAACAGCTGGCAGACGGTCAATGGAGGAGAGGATGAAGAGTCGGTGTATGGAGGGGGTGCCGCGTCGTTATCACCCCTCGCTGGCCCAGGTAAGGTTTCAGTTGTTTGGGATACAACAAAAGTCGTTATGGCGCTAAGTTGCTTTGGGAACAGGCCCCTGACAATGCGCGCCTCGCGACCATCCCGAAATACATCATGCGACCGCGCATCTTGCATGCAGCCTGTTAGCGCCTGCGAATAGCTGCCATCCCAAGCCACGCGCCCGCCGAACTGGTGGGCTGCCCATGGTCATCTCCTAATGGATCGCCGACCTGTAGCATCGCTTTGCCATGACGCACGACCATCACACACGGTTGGAAAGTTGGAGAGGGGCACGGTGTCGCAGGTAGAGTACTATGCTTCATTCTATCGTCCTTCTATCGGGCTTGATAAGGGCATGCTGTTTGGCGCGCATCTTGCTTGCGTGGCTCTCTTCACGACAGGGCTTCACCTGTCTGAAGGCTGATCACTGAGCAGTCATTCGCTAGGGTGTGCTTAGGGCAATCTCGAGTCCGGTTTACATCCCACCACCATCGAAGCCACTTCTCGACATGCCGTGTGAAACCTGGCTGACGAACTCTGCGATCTGCCGGGAAGGCCGGAGGAGCTCCGTCGATACCTTTCAGCTATCGTCTTGACTATTGGCTTATTGGCTCCTCTTCCAAGTCGTTAGCCATCGTTTGCGGCGTAGCAAGTACCCGCAAATAGAGATATCGTGACCATGTCGCAACCCCCTTCTGCGCAGCACAGTGTCTCGGGCATTTCGCATCTCAAGTCCGCTGTGCCGTCCAACCCCACCTTGCATGCGAATCCGTCTTACGTGTTTCAAGATGGAGTTTGGGCTCTCGTAAAGGATACATTGGCAAGTGTATCCTCTTGAGCTATGCGCTTTGCCTGGTGATCCTTCCCCTACCCTAGCGCTTCATGGTCCGGGGTCTCATGCAGCTGTGTCTTTGCTCGATGCTGTCGGCTCCTCGTCTCCACACTAGATGTTGGTGTACGCAGTCAGTTTATGTCTCATATGTAGTTCGTACAGGGATACTACTTACACCACAATCATATGCATCACCTATATCTTCACAACTGAACTCGGGCTTGCCCAGCCTCTTGTTGACGATATTGTGTACGTAGCAACCCCACATGGCGGCTGCTGTCCGCGACGATACTTGAGGAGGATACTTTGCGAGTACTTGCCCGAAGTGCTCTGCGCATTCCCCGCTGCAATTCCAGTCAGTTTGCGCATGACCTTTGTGTGCGCCACACGGTGTAAGACATACCAAGGGTACAGGCGTTGGAACAGGTGTACGTATGACCGCAGTGCCTCTTGCTCCTCGTCGGTAGGGCTTTCGGGGAAGCGAGCAAAGGTTGTGTGTAAGACTTTCCACGCGGCGCGACCGAGTTCTGCCCTGCGTTTGCTTGTCAGTCTGCCCGTGTTCTGTACATGGTGTCTGCGCAGAGGCTGTGATGCACATACTTTGCCGTCGCATTCTCCAACTTTGGCGCGATCGCATGTCCGGTGAGCACGGCTTCGCTGGTACGACCCAGCTTCTTCTCGACCGATGTTGGTGCTAGATGTGATGGCGTTACTTTGTAGGGCCCTACAAGCACGAACGAGCACAGGGCAAAGACGACTAGAGCAAGGAGAGCAAACCGGGCCCTGGGGCCACTGATGCGCATCATGGTGAAGTGTTTAGGTCAGATCTCCGAGGTGAGAAAACGAGATTTCAAGGTGGTGAGACGCGTTCCATGGTTCACTGTGGAATGCGAATGGCTGTCATCTATGGCCACGCACTCGATGCCTCAGATAGCGCCAAGCTTGCGGCTTCGAAGCATCACGCCCGAGTGGTCCCACCATGCGGGTAAATCTGCAGGTACATGTGTGCAATCGAAGCTAGTTCGCATTCGACAACGCCATTAGCATTCTCCGCGATGGGAAATCAATAAAGTGCAGTTGATGAGCTTTTGGTACGCTGCGACGGGTGCCGGGGGATATTACCGGTCTACGTCATCCGATATCGCAGTAGGGCTGAGCTTGCTGGTCCTCCGAAAGCGTTCAAAACTTCAAAATTGCCCATTGACCAATCTGCATATTGGCTCGCGCTTCAGCACACGACACCGTAACTCACTGCAAATAACACAACCATGTCAGACTTTCCTCCTTCACCCGTCGATACCATTGGTACGTCAATCGCTGAGCGGGTTGCCGGCACGTTCCACGCAGCGCAAAGGCCCACGCTAACTCAACTACAGACTGGAGCAATGTGGGCTTCAAGATCCGAGAAGGTAAGACTTAATCCTGTTACGAATGAACTCGGCGAGTGCATAAACTGGGACATGCACGAGAAGGTATTGAGAGGGCGCCCAAAGTGTGTTTGTACTGCGTATATCCACCCCGCCGTGGAGTCACCCACCAGTACGATTTCGAACTCTTCCTAACTTTACAAAGTCGCTGGCCATGTTGAATCACACTACTCTGTTGAGACCGGCAAATGGACCCCCCCAGTCTTTGTCGAGGATCCATTCCTGCGCATCCACGGCATGGCACCCGGTCTGAATTACGGGATGCAGTGCTACGAGGGTATGAAGGCCTTCCGAGCACCAAATAACACCATAAACATCTTCAGGCCCAACAAGAATGCCGAAAGGATGCAACACTCGGCCTCTTTTATTTCCATCCCAGAGGTACCGACAGACCACTTCCTCGCCTGCTGCAGTATGGCTGTAGGAATGAACGCGGCATACGTGCCACCTCATGAGACCGGGGCGGCCATGTACATCCGACCACTGCTCTTCGGTAGCTCAGCGCAGCTTGGCCTGAACCCGCCACAGGAGTACACATTCGTAGTCTACTGTATTCCAACAGGTGTCTACCATGGATCAAACCCGGTAGATGCCGTCATCCTTGAGGACTTTGACCGCGCCGCGCCGGAGGGAACTGGATCAGCAAAGGTCGGAGGCAACTACGCTCCAGTATTGCGGCATAGCGAGAAGGCGTACAAGGCAGGCTACGGCATTACCCTGCACCTTGACAGCAAGACCAGAAGCGTCGTTGACGAGTTCTCAACGTCCGCATTCATTGGAGTGAAGAAGGATGGCGACAAGGTCAAGCTTGTTGCATCTAACAGCAAAAACGTCATCCAGAGTGTGACTGGAGACAGCGTTCTCAGGATTGCGGAATCATTTGGCTGGGAAGCCGAGTCCCGAGAGGTACTATATTCGCTTTGCAAACGTGCTACACTCAGCTAACAATTTTAGATCGCGTATGAAGAACTCAAGTCCTTCGACGAAGTCCTTGCTGCAGGAACCGCGGCGGCTCTTGTTCCCATCAAATCTATCACTCTACCATCGAAGGATGACAAGTTCACGTATGCAGAGGCACAGCAAGAACCAGGCCCAGTATGCAAGAAGCTTCTTACGACACTGAAAGGTATCCAGCAAGGAAAGATTGAAGACAAGCAGAGCTGGCTTTTCAAGGTGGAGAGGCCTGAGCAGTTTGGAAAACAAGAACAGGCAAACGGGGCCAAGATTGTCGGACAACTGCCTTGAGAGGATGGGTCGAGTGCGCTTTCCGGTCTTCACGCATGCAGAAATGACTATAGATGACCAAGGCAAGGACAAACTTGTCAAGGTTGTAAACGCAGGCCTGTACAGAAAAGACTGATGAATAATGCAATGCAAAAAGAAAACACTGCTTCAACTATATGGCCGGATTTGCTTTGTCCTATACTTAGACTTGACTGTTACAACCCAGACATCCAAGCACGGTTGAAACAGACAAGAGCAACATGATACTGGGAACGCGGAGCTCGCAATCGTGGTACACGTTTGCGATGGCTTAAAGCTGTTCGCGCCGCGAGACTTTAAGTGCCGAGGTGGCCCAGAACTATCTTGGTCGACACCCCCACACAGTCTAGCCAAAACGCATACGTCATCCCTGCTTTTCACCCGCATAATCGAGGTGCACCATTTGAGCGCGCGTCTATCCAACCGTGCAACGAGGCAGACAGACACCCAACATCCCTACCCTCTCGCATAACCACGAGGTCCGAAACCTTGGTATACCCCGCCAGTAGTTGCAGCCTCGCACAAAATTAATAGCACGCCTGTGCCACGCGATCCTACGCCGAGTCACAGCGCAAACGCCTACAGCATGCCTGGATCGTTTTCGAGAATCAGGGACAAGGCCAGGCGCCACCTGGGTGATCCTAGTCCGGATGAGGCCTATCTTTCTTGTGAGTCGGGACGCAGGGACTGTGAGAGGGTAAAAACTGACTGAGGGCAGATCATGATGTGAGGGGTGTGTATGCGTCACCTGTTCTTTGACTTGCGCTTCCATGTGCTTTTGACAACCACGACGGTAGTACTGACGGCTGCCAACAGTAACGCGAGCCGATCTAGACAGCATCAAGTCTAACGACTGGCTCACGGACAATGTGCGTACACCATTACCCCTCTGCACACCACAACTAGGGCTAACATAGACCCAAGGCCATCGCCTTCTGGCAAGAATACCTCGAACGCGAAGAGCTCAATGCCTTCCCCAAAGCCTCCATCGTCCTCCTCCGCCCCTCCATGTCCTACATGCTCATGCAATCCGCCGAGCCCCTCTCCTTGAAAGAAGTCCTCCCCAACTTCACTCACACAACACACGTCTTCCTGCCCATAAATGACAACACCGACGTCACACAAGCCGAAGGCGGCTCACATTGGTCCCTCCTTCTCGTTTCCATCATCGATGGCGTTTCATTCCACTACGACTCCATGACTCAGTCCAACGAGCGCGAAGCACGAAGCACAACCATGAAGCTGGAACAACTACTAGGAAAGCGACTGCGGTTTATCCCTATGAGTGATAGTCCGCAGCAAGAAAACGGAAGTGATTGTGGTGTGTTCGTCTGTGTGCTTATGCGGCATTTGCTGCTCAAGAGGCTGCTTCGGGCCGATGCGAGCAAGAAGGTCAGCATGAGCATGCGGGATGCACACATAAACGCAAAAGATGGACGGAGAACTATGCTCAAGGTCATCGAAGAGAGGAGAGACGAGGGAAAGCGGAGACGCTCGTATGTTTCCGAAACATCATTGTCATTGGGAAGGAGAAGCTAACACGCGTGCAGAGGCAGTCATTCACCCTTTAGAAATCCCTCCGCCCACTCCAAGAGCCCACCACGCATAGGCGACGAACAATCGCAGGAGCGCTAGTAGCCGCTGAGATTTGCATCAGACTAATATCCCTGATTTGGCTCCATTACGTGGAGACTTTATGAGCACCTGTGTGCACGAAGGCGCTGTGCTTTGCTACGCCTGTCGCCTCGGTAATACACAAGCGAGCGTCGGATACTGTCTGAATGAGGTAGCAGGCGGAGTAGGTCATGATTTACGATTTATGTGCTTCATGTTTACGCAAATATATGAATGGTTAGCATCGGCACCGGAGTACTTTTACTGGAGACGCACATAATACATACCACGAAAAAGACGTACACAGCGAATCAGACTACGATTTTCAATACTTCGGTCTACATCAATGTTGATACCATATCAGTCACTAGCTGTTCTATGAGTGTTAACGCCATCCATGCATGACAACCAGCTCCGACCCAACTCCCAGGTTTTGCTCTCCACAAGCTAGAAGAGTGCGTACTCGATAACATGTCTCAAAGTGTTCTAGTCAAATGTAGATGGCGTCTAAATTGTCTTCTCGTCAGGCTTGGTCTCTTTGGGCTTGGTCTCTTTGGGCACGAGGTTGCCCTGATCATCCCGCGGTATACGTTCCCAACCCGTCTTGAATCGCTTGTGGCTTGCATCGAAGCGAGGGAAAGGATGAGCCTCAGTATTCAGGACGATTTGATCGAGAGGAAGGAGATCGTTGGGGGAAAAGAGAAGGTACATGTACTTCAGTGTCTCAGCCTGCATTGTGTGTTAGTAAATAAATTCAGTTATTTTGATGTATAAGGGAAGGGTAAAAGCGAGGGGAGGTACTTACAAGCCAGAAACTCTCCATATTGTCTCGCGATGGAGGAGGTATCTTTGTGACATCGCCAATACTAGAGAAACCACCATTGTCCTCTACGATAGTGTGTTTGACAAAAGCTTCGAACATGTCCCAACCCCATTCGCGGTAGATGTCGTCGCCGGTTATACGCCACATGTATAGCAGAGATTCCACCGTCTCTGGTCGCTGGAGGTTGTGTGTATCAGCTGGCTTGAGGTCAAAATCGCCCTTCCAGCCTTCACCGTCGGGGATACTGGTGTCGAGCTCAGACTTGGATGCTAAGATCTCGGTGCGGTACATCTTTGGTGGGTCGTCCAGCTCGAAATACGCAATCTCAGGCGCGAGACCTGTGGCGGTTACTTTGTACATGCCCATACAAGTCTTTGTGAGCTCGCGAGCGAGGGTGATGTCTTCCTCTTGTGCTTTGCCCCAGGTGGGTAGCTTGCGCGCATCAGCGAGAGGAATGCCACCGGTTGCTGCTAGGGCGATGGTACCAGGCAGGAAACAGACTAGGTGATCCATCTTGGGGTGCAATTTCCCTTCAATTCCGTTTGGTCGCTCTCCTAACACAGTAAAGTGGCTGTTTTTCGTATAGGTGAGAAGATGCTTCTTTGCGCCGTTGAGCGACTCATTCCACATCTCTTGATAGATTGGTTCTTGCTTCTGGGTCTGGAGGTACTGCTTGATAAGGTACTCGTAGTAACTGTCACCACGACTGCCCCATCGGATCTCGTTGCCGCGGAAGGTTCCCCTGTCTGCGTAGATGAAGATAGGTAGAAGACCGTCTTTAGCACCGTTGTTGTCAACGACTTGCATCACCTTTTCAGCTACATCCCAGTAATGTTTCTCACCGGTAATGAAGGCCAAGTATTTCATCTCAAGTTGCAGAGTAGTTGCTTCAGCTGTAGAAGACGCACCACCGTCGGCGTGCGAGGCTTCGCCTTTGGCATCTCTAAGAATGACACTGGCCCACGGAACACCCGAAGGTGACTCGTACGCGCCCATGAGACGGTCTGCCAAATCGGTTGCTTTTTCCAAGAACAGGTCCTCTTCGTTCTGATTCTCGGGCTTCAGGCCCGGAAGTGTCTCTTGCAAGTAGTGCGCAGACAGCAGACCACCAAGCATGCGTATAGTCGTTTCGAAGGTATTGACATCTTGCTTCTTGTCGTAATCGAGGCTTGTTGCAATCCATTGACGCGCGTGGTTGACTTCCTTTGTCAGGTTCATGATCATGAGCGTATCGAGGGCGTCCACGATAATCCAGCCCAGGCCGTTGGGCTCTGCCATGTATCGACCCTTCTTCGAAACGGGATGGTACTCGTCGTAGCCCCAGCCGTGCTCCTCATATGCGTTCCAGCTCAATAAAAAGGCATCCTTTACTGCTTGTCTCCGCTTCTCCCAGTCAACTTTGCTCTTCTTTCCGGCAGCGCTTCCGCCCATGTTTGACAGTAAGCTCTTCCCCTTGTCCTTCTCATCTTGCACTACATCCACACTTGTCCCTCCACTTGACCATCCAAACCAGTAGAAAAGCCCGAGCACGACCAGTGCTATCAATGACATGCCCCTCTTACTCTTCAGAAAGCCTCTCCTCCCCCTCGCGCCGCCGCCGCCGCCATATCCGTATACCTTTCCTGAAGGCTTGTCCTTATACATTGGCAAGCCCTTCTCGTTTCCCGGTAGTTTGTTCCAAACATTATCTTCAAACTTGCGTTGCGCGCTCTCGAAGTTGGGTACGTTGCGCGGGATGGCGAAGGACATGTCTGAGTCCTGAATCGCCTGTTTCGTGGCCTCGACCGCCTGCTTGGTCGATTCGACGGCTTGTGAGGCTTTCTTGTTGGCGGCGTTCTGGAGGACGGCGAAGGCGGAGGGTGTCTTGAACGTTGCTTTGCTTCGGAGGTTGAATGGATCGCGTGTCAAGTTCATGAGGCGGCGCGACGCGTAGTGCTAAACAAATGATAGACCAAGCGGAGCGAGTGTAAGTTCACCCTTGCAAAGTCTGACAAGCTGTCATCTTGCTCCAAACTCGCAATGGATTCTGGAAGCAATGCTCAAAGCGCCCTCTGACTCGCCAGGTGTTCATTGCTCACCCCCGATGTATGTGGCTTGGCGCAACAGGGGTCCCGCATCGTAGAGCCATCAGCCACAGCGGAGTCCAACGGGGGAGCTCCACCCCTCTACATCTCAGCCTCTGCGACTCGCAAGCATCGCTCTTCCTCGTACTACAAGTCAGAGATACGCGTGTCCGGGCACAGGCACGCTCACAGCCACCTTCCGTAGTCTTGGGCTTATCTCTGCGCCATGGGTACTTAAGGAGTAGCTGCGATGCAGCGATTGAACATTTCAGATGCGTTTAGACAAGCTGTTCCTATGATCATCGCATACCCTGCCGTATTTACACCATTACCGCGTCTTGTCGTCATTGCTGTTTACGAGTTACGTGATGGCTTTTTACACCAAAGACGAAGCGCGCTTCCTATTCTTTGCCCTCTTTTCCTGTCTGCCCTTACATCGTTGCTTTCGGCTTGCCCGCACTTCGTCACCTACAGTAAAGAGGTCGGATACTCCCAAGATCGGAGAGTCACAGTCCAGAGAATCTTTACGGAAGAAGAAGATAGAGCGACACGATTCTCCTTCTACAACATCCATCTTACCTAGCAAAACACCATGTCAGGCGCAAGCATGAAGCGCATACAAATCACACCGGATGGCTCAGGTCCACCTACAAAACTCAACACTGACGTCCCTGCCTCTTTACCTGACGCCAAAGAGACCAGGATTCATCCCCAAAACGCCCCAGACGCTTCAACAAATGCTTCACTCTTCTTCGTCGGGACTGCCACTACAATTCTAGAGTGGGAAGGCATCCGCATTCTCACAGATCCCAACTTCCTCCATGCTGGCGACCATGTTCATCTAGGACCAGGTGTCGGTGCAACAAGACAGACCAACCCCGCGATCGATTTGGAAGAGCTACCAAGGATCGACGTGATTCTGCTTTCGCATTACCATGAAGATCACTTTGACCGAGAAGTAGAGGAGAAACTGTCAAAGGGTCTCCCAATCATCACTACGCCACACGCCAAGGAATGCTTGACAGGCAAAGGCGAAGAATCATTCAAGAACGTACATGCGCTCGACTTCTGGCACAGTTTGCTTCTCGATGTATCGCAGTCAGACCAAACAAGTGGTAGCGGTCCAAAGCCCAGCATCAAAGTCACAGGAATGCCTGGAAAGCATGTACCTCCTGGCCCGTTAAATGTTGCAAATGAGATTCTTGGCGCTGTACCGCCTACAAACGGCTGGATGGTTGAGCTCGGGTACTCCGATGGTTCCTCTAGCGACGGTAGCGATTTTGAGAATGGATACCGAATCTATATCTCTGGCGACACGCTGATGGTAGACGAGCTCAAGGAGATCCCTGAGCGGTACAAGGATCACAACATCGACTTGATGCTAGTCCATCTGGGAGGCACCACAATTCCTGGTCCCAAGATGCCGTTGCTGATGGTCACAATGGACGCAGAACAGGGCGTACAGCTGATGCAGCTTATCAACCCCGACCTCACAATCCCGATCCACTACGACGATTACGATGTTTTCCTGAGTCCCTTGGACGACTTCAAGAAGGCTGTACATGCGGCTGGATTGGATAGCAAGGTTGTGTATCTAGACCGCAAGGATCAGTACAAGTTCAACGTGAAACAAGGACAGAAGCAGCCGAAGCAATCGCTGTATTAGTAGCCATATCTGTAATGACTCGGTAACTAGCTGTTCAGCAATATTGATCATGATACATGATGATTCTTGGTGCACGTCGGAAACAAGTCGTGATTCGGAATGAAGTTTGACTTTTTTCATTCCTGGTGGTAACCCAATCTGAAGGGTTCCGTAGTTGCCATTGAACAAAATTTATCCGTTGAGACGCCGCCCGCCATGCCTTCGTGCTTCGTGCGCATCATGCGTTGATGTCCTTGCACACTTCCGTCCTCAGTTCCTTATGCGTTCGATCCGTTTATGCGGTGCGCTTGCCCTTGGGGTTCTTCTTGCCGACGTCGGTGATGGTAAGACCTGCAAATGTTAGACTCACGTCGCTGGCCACGTGTTATTGATTGTTTGTGCGTACCCGGGGGCAGACTCTGCTTGAGCTTCTCGGCCTTGTCGGTGTCCTTAAGGACGAGGGTGTAGACGTTGGTGGAGCATCGGACCTTGAACTTGATGTTGTTGACCTTCTTGTTCTTCTTTATGCGGGCGGCTGCAATACTGTCAGTCCAGATCTCTCATCACATTCTCTGCCTCGATTGTCGCAGCTTTCTGCATCTCCCGCTTCTTGTGCACAATTCCTCTTCCTACTGCGACCGCAACCTCCCCCTAACAAAATTGGTAGACGTACAGCTGGCATCCTTGCGCCTGCAGATCTCGATGAACTGCTTGATGTCGGAAACTTCGGAAGGCATCTTGACGATTTGTGTGTTGACGGGTCGTTGGAATTCGGAATCGATCGTGAAGTTCGGGAACGCAATATTGTTGTGGACTCTGGCCCCGGGGAGACCTCGCTTGAAAAGCACGGGCTACAAAGGGGCTGGCCGCAAGCGTTGCTGCTTCGGGCTTGGTGGGGTAACGACGTGTGTGGCGTAAACGAGCGAGGCAACCTTGGAATGTAGATGCGTTGCATGTGAGACAGCGCTGCCTACACTTAAATCCTACAAATCCCGCGAAATTCAGACAGATATCTCATTCAATCCCCACAACTGCGCTCAAAACTCTTCAATCTCACCTGTTCTCCTAGCCACGACTTCCACTTCCATCCTTCAGCATGCCGACTCCTATCGATCGCGCGGTGCAACAACGTGTAGGTTACTCATGGCTATCCTGGCATCTGCTATACATAGTGGGCCTTCTGCATGTTGCTTTTGTACTATACTAAGACAATTCAGGGCCCGTTCTTCGCTTTTGCTGCAGTAGTTGCTGGTGTTGCAGCATGGAGTATTTGGGGACAAGACATCTTTCCCAGTCAAGACCCTACTGGAGGTACGCAAACACACGCCCTTTAGATTGTCGAATGACTCCATTTTCGACTTTGCTAATATCGTTTTCAGACCCAGAGACATGGACACACGACCAATGCGTTACTTGGCTCAAGCACGTAAGTTCTCTCATGGCTGACACATCCGACAAGATCCACTCTAGTTCTGGCTACTGTCAAACTGCTGTGGCATTATGCAGATTATGGATGACTTCAATCATGCAGTTTTGTGCTAACACTATGGCAGAGGAATCTACACCCCTCTCCACTCGCAACGACAGCTGAACTGCTGGAGAGGATCAAGGCGAACATGAGGGTAGCAAGAGAGCGGACGCCAGGGCAATAAATCATATTAGCCGTCGCATAACTGGATAGTCCTTCAACCCAAACTATGCTCACCAGTACCTTGTGTTGGCTACTGAATACATGATGTTAAGCAATCATAAGCACTTTTCCCCTTCGCGGCATTGGTAGTCGCCTCACTAAGCATTTGTCGATCCGTTCGTGAATTCAATACCGTTGGTAGTTGCCAGCCGGGCTTTGACCAACTCCTCTGAGGTCCTCAAAAACTCCGAATCACTCCAGGCCTCATTTTTTTATACCTCAACGCCATACTCCTTCCGACGCACTTTTGTCGAACTTGCACTCAACCAGCAACCTAGTTGCTACCTTCTGCCTTCTTGAACGCCTGCAGAATCCCTATACTAGCACTGTAGTGTTCAGTCTCCTCAGCATAAGCGTTCTCCTCTTGTGTCATGATTTGATGGAGACGATCCAGCTCCTCGGCCATACGCTGCTTGTAGGGAATCATCTCTTTGTCGATCACAGCTTGTTTGTGAGCGGTATCGCTACGCTTCTTGCGCAGTTCTTCGAGCTTCTTGCGCTGATCCGCAAGCTGTCGCTCGATTGACATGGGCTTTGGGGTAGGTGAGCGCAGAAGGGTACTTGAAACTACAGGCTCAACTAAGAGTGCAGGAGGCGTCAGGACGGCCTTGGTGCGCTTTGGCTCGGACGTTGCGCTATTTGTGGTGCGTATCTGACGCTTGGTCGGTATAGCTGCGACGGGCGGGGTATCTGGCTTCTTTCCCATACTCGTGATACCACTGATTGGCGCTGGTCTCTCAACCGGCTTCTTTCCTTGCGTGATGGGCGACTGTGGAGGCTTCCTAACTGTTTCTTCCGCTGCGACCGCGGGTCTCTCTGGATGTGAGATTGCGGACTTGGCCTCGAGACCTGGAAGATTGGACAACTTCGCGATAGAGTTGGCTGCCGGCTCAGGAGGCGTAACATCAATTTTGTCAACAACCTTATCGCCATCATTGCCAGTAGAGATAGTAGGAGCGTCTCTATCAGTCTCGAGACTGTCGAGCGCCTTCTTGACTCTTACTTTGAGGCCCGGCTTTGCGCTTCTTGCTGGAGTAGAAGGTTTGCTAGGAGACATTGGGGATGATGATGATGATCGGGACGAGGCCTCCCCGTCGTTCTTACACGGTTTTTCGCCCAATAGCAGAGGGGGTACGGGATTTAGGAATAGGGTATGCGGTTTGGGCTTCTCTTTGCTGTTCGGGTCATGAGTCATCTCCATTTCTCGCTTTAAAATGTCTTCTGAACAACCGTGTAAACACAATATTCGAGAAAGATGCCTGACAAACTCACCTTGACTTCGATAGTGGAAACGAAATATGGCCCAGGGCTCTGTGCCTGGACGTTTCGCGTCCACCTTGCGCTGTTGAAGACTTGGCTGTCTGTCCTCTAGAAGAGCAGCGTTCGTCTCGAACGACATCCTGAAAGTCGGAGGGATGACCTTGTAACTCGCCTTCTGTTCCATACTACCTGTTTGCTTATCTCCGATGCTACCTCCGACTGTGAAGTACTTTTTAACTTCACCTACATCGTGCCAAGTTCCTAGCTGTCGGGTAATGTACAGGCGCAGTTCCAAAGTTCCAATTGTCTCGGGGTCATTATTTTGTGTCGTAGCGAAACCTAGCAGTGGTGCCACGGTGATGTCGGTATCAATGATCCCCTTCGTAGTCTTGTACAGAAACTTTACTGTTTCTATCTTCCTCTTGTTCTGAAAGCTTACCGCTTTGGCTGCGTACGAGTTTGCCTTACGAAGTACTCCGTCCACGATAGTATCCCAGGCCACGGCCAGAGTCTGAGAATTGGTCAGATAAGCCTGTTGAGCATGTACAAGTAGGACTTACCGTGCCAGAGAACTGGCCTCTGATGCGAGGTTTATCGCCCTCATACAGAGCCACGTAGCAACATATTGCTTTGTCCCTTGGATCGATATATTCACCGTACTCTTTCAATGCCGGAACTTGGCCTTCGATGAAGACGTTGACCTCGGCTGTTCTGTCGGTGTCCTTCTCAGTGACTTTCATTTTCAGAGCTTTATCGTGGGACGATCAATATATCTTTGATAACAGCTGGATGACAATGGTAAGCGATCATGAAATGGTGACTGTAGTAGGACTGCCTAGACGACTAGACGGAACTATACAAGCTAGCGAGTAGGTCGTTGAGGGCTGATAGGGCTTCTGAAGTACAGTGCCTGTAGCGCTGGAAGCAAGGAAATCGTCGTAGCTAGAGCACTTTTTTTTTTCGCTGACTGGGTGAGCTACAAACCGCGGGTTATGTTCGTGTATCGGCTGGATCGCTATTCATAGTACGGATGTCACAAGAGAGTCCAGTGCATGCCCAAACAAAAGAGGAGTAGAAGTGATAGGTAGGGGAAATGGTGAAGAGATGAAAGGCCGTCTTATATGCTAGTAGCAAGCGAAGACAGATGAGAGGTAAGGTGAAAGTAAAGCCAGCCTCGTGCGTGACGTGTGCTGAAGGAGTGTCGCTGGCATCGCGACCACCATGTCTACCAAGGCTCAAGTGAGAGTCACCTGAGAGGTATCTGGAGCTCAGCTATACATGAAAACCGATGTATGCCGTAATCATCCTTATATCGTGCTGGAAGATGCCCCTCGATTGTTCGAACAAAGATGTGGTTCCGTGGAGCAGCACACGTTCAATAGCTGAAGACCACGGTAGTCGCCGTCGTTCTATATGATTATTTCTTCCTGCTCTTTCGACGTCTGGCATTCTCGGTAACCCAAGTATCTGGAATACGACTTTTGCTAAATACGTGTGAAAGATGGATTTTCTTTACCATCCGACGAAATGACAAGACATGGTGAGGATATCTGGCAAAACCTACAAGGCAAAGTAGTCTCAGACTGCCATTGCGCATCGTAAGAACAGTTGCAAGATACTATGAAGAGGGCCAACTGCCGTTCTGACTGCTTATCACCTGAAACCTGGTACGGATGAAACACGCATGCACTACGCGAACCATGGTCGGTACTATCACATGCAAATGAGGCCGTGGTGGATTGCGCACAAATGGCTGGGCAGTTGTGGAAAATCGGAGTATATGCCGACTAGGACACGAGCAAAAATAGGAAAAAGCAAGTAGCATAGAGAGTGAAAGGCACGAACAGGGCTGCGCCGGAGGCAACAGACAGAGCGAGCCGCGGCGGAAGGACGGATGCGGTCATTTGCCAAGCGCGGTTTCTTCCTTCGGTTCGGATGCATTTTCGGGGGACGGCAGCTCGAGCTGGTTTCTCTCTACCTCAAATCCCTCACCACCAGCCCAACGCCGCAACTCCACCATGTTGTCGAGGACCTCTCAACGAACAGCGCAGGTACGGACATGTCGATGCGCTTGCAATTGGCGGTCATGGCGGAAATTCGAGTGCTAATGCGCCCATACAGACGCTCCTGCGGGGCGCGAAGCCTGCCGCTCGATGGGCATCCCCAATGGCTACTCGATGTACGAAGACGCCCTGAAGTATTCGGAGCAATGCAGAGTCTAACGCGGCGACAGCAATGGCCACGGTCACCCAGGACATCTTCAAGCCCACCAAGTTCGGCGGCAAATACACTGTCACCTTGATTCCTGGTACGCGCGATAGCCGCCCATAAACCCGATCTACTTTCTGAACATGCGCAGGTGACGGTATCGGTGCTGAGGTCTCCGAGTCGGTCAAGGAGATCTTCAAGGCGGACAACGTCCCCATTGAGTGGGAGCAGGTCGACGTGTCTGGTGTCGACTCGGGCAACGTCCACTCCGAGGAGCTCCTCCGCGAGTCGATTGCTTCGCTCAAGCGCAACAAGCTCGGTCTTAAGGGTATCCTCCACACTCCCGTCGAGCGCTCCGGCCACCGTTCCTTCAACGTTGCTCTCCGTCAAGAGCTCGACATCTACGCCTCCATCGTCCTCCTCAAGAACATCCCCGGCTACGAGACGCGCCACAAGGACATCGACTTCTGCATTATCCGTGAGAACACCGAGGGTGAATACTCCGGTCTCGAGCACCAGTCGGTCAACGGCGTCGTTGAGTCGCTCAAGATCATCACCCGTGAGAAGTCGGAGCGCATCGCCAAGTTTGCCTTCGCCTTTGCGCTCGCCAACAACCGCAAGAAGGTTACCTGCATCCACAAGGCCAACATCATGAAGCTTGCCGATGGTCTGTTCCGCAACACTGTCAAGCGTGTTGGTGAGGACTACCCCACTCTCGAGACCAACGACATGATCGTCGACAACGCCTCCATGCAGTGTGTCTCAAGGCCACAGCAATTCGACGTCATGGTCATGCCCAACTTGTACGGAGGTATCCTGTCCAACATCGGTGCCGGTCTTGTCGGTGGCCCTGGTATCGTCCCCGGTTGCAACATGGGCCGCAACGTCGCCGTTTTCGAGCCTGGATGCCGTCACGTCGGTCTCGACATCAAGGGCAAGGACCAGGCCAACCCCACCGCTCTGATCCTGTCCGCTGCCATGATGCTCCGTCACATTGGTCTCGATGACCACGCCAACCGCATCTCGCAGTCCGTCTACAAGGTTATCGCTGACGGGTGAGTTTTCTTTGTCAAGTCAGAAAGTAATCCATGACTAACATTCTCTAGCACTGCCCGCACACGCGACATGGGAGGCAACACCACCACCCACGAGTTCACCCGCGCAGTTCTGAACCAGATGGAGAAGGCATGATTTAACCATCATGGTCTTCGTGTTTGCTAAGCTTTGATCTAGCGCGATGATACCGTCAAATCTAGGCCTCGGCTCACATTGGGTTAACCTATGATAGGGAGCAATAACACATTTTCTTAACGATTGGACGCAATGGCACTTGTACAACTACCAGCTGGAATGTGAATAGAGCTGTACTTGTAGGTGGTATATAGCATGCTGCATGATTGAATTGACCATTCTTATACCCTCCTGAAAATGCCAAAACCAGAACTCCGTGCTATGCGTAACATCGTGATGATGGTGTCGTGGGTATATCTAGAATTGGATCCTCCTCTTCCTGCCAGTGTACTTGGACGACGCCTTGACAACCTTGCCTTGCCTCTCCATCTGCTCCTTCTTCTTCATGATGTATGCTTTGCTGCCCTTGCGTTCTTCACCTCTCTTCATGCCCTTTGCCTTTCTTCGTGCATCATCGACGTCAACGCCTTCCATGCCCCTCACAACACCTGTGATGTCGCCATCGAGCGCTCCTCCGCCCACAGTTAGGACAAGATATGTCTTTGCGCTCTTGGTTCCCATGTCATCCTCAAGAAGACCCGCACCGAAACCGGCCTTGATGGCTGCCTGCGCCACCATTTTCTTCTGTGCATCGTTCTTTGGGTAGAACTGACAGACAGCCCTCCCTCCTCTCTTCAGACTCGCATAGAGCTGGTTGAAGAACCTCGATAATCTGCCCGCAGGACTCTCCTCACTAGTTTCAGCGTTACACAGCCATTGGACTGCACTGATACTGATGGCAGCGTCGAAGGTTCCTGGTCTGAACGGTACACCTTGGCCTGCGTCGGCTAGCAGCAAATCTCCTTCTACCTCTTTCTCCAACGCAACGCCCAGCATGGATGCGCTAATGTCAAAGCCAATCCATACGTGTGGGCCGCCAGGTGTGCCTTGTTCTGCGGTTTGCGACAGGATCTCGCCACTAAGACCGGAGCCGCAGCCAATGTCGAGAATCATGGAGGGCGAGGAAAGTGCGAGAAGGGAGAGGGCGCGATGGGTCATTGTGGATTGAATCTTCTGGATACGTGAAGAGGTTGTGTATTTTCGCGATTCCGAGTCATTGTAGAAGAGATCGGGGGGTCTGTAGAAAAGTAAGCGCTGAATTCCTCGCTATGCGACTTGCGATATTGCGAAGAGGCGTGCGTACAGGATGTCTTCGGGGCGCGACATGGTTGCGGTTGTGGGCTGTGACTCTCTCTGCAACAAGCGCAGTACTCTTTGGTTCGCTTTGACTTGTGCGACTGGGGGCTGCAAGGGAACTGTGGGAAGCGAGCGTGATGTGTCGGTTGGTCGATTCACTCAAGCCAAGAGTTCGACGACTTTTTGGTGTTGCACCCCACACTTTGCCGCGGGTCCACGGGTTTCTCCGCTAGCCTTGATGCCACCTTTGGACTGACCTCATCGTGCGCCCGCCAAACTTCCAGACTCCATCCTTCTTCACATCCCCCTGAAGTGTCACAAGTCAACATGTGGATACTGCCGTTGCTTGGATATGTGGGTGTCATTTTGGGCTTCGCCTTCTTGACGCTTGCCATAGGTACTTTGCAGCCATGCACATAGTCTTTGGTTCACGGAGCTGACGCAACATAGCTTCCGGCCTGTACTACCTCTCTGAGCTTGTGGAAGAGCATACCGTATTCGCAAAGAAGCTACTGTACCGACTCATCTATGGCGTGGTCGGCATCCAAATCTTGCTTCTAGTCGTCGATCGGTTTCCAGTCGGACTCAGCGCGTTAAGTGTTGTGTCGCATGTCATTTATGCGCAGAACCTCAGGCGATTTCCCATTGTCAAGCTCACGGACCCACTGTTCTTGGTCTCTTGCGGTATGTTGTACCTTATCCTGAGTCCGTTTCATGTCTGTACTAAGCATCTTTCTAGCCCTCGTCATCGCAAACCACTATCTTTGGTTTCGTCACTTCAGCGCTCCGCCAGCGAACACATACTCTTCGTACTCATACTCCCGCGACGTCAACATTCCCACCTTTACCGAGATCGCCTCTTACTTTGGCCTATGCGTCTGGCTAGTTCCATTTGCCTTGTTCGTCTCCTTGTCCGCTGGCGAGAACGTTCTTCCCTCAATGGGCTCCGAGTACGCGACTGGAGACGGTAGCAGCTACATCATGCCAGGGAAAGCACCAGAGTCGTTTGGCAGCGGGACGGGTATTGGAGTTGGCGGAGTGAGCAGTGGGATGGAGGGCAAGAGGAGGGCAAGAAGTGGAACAAACGCGGGCATGGCGAAGGCCGTTGTCACTGGCGTCAGGGAGTGGGTCGGAGAGACAGGAGAGGTTATGGGACTGTGGAAGGGTGAGAGAACGAGGCCAACATTTTAAGAGCTGGGTCTCTAGGGAATACGATTGTACGAGTAACACGGGTTTATAATACAACAGCTCTCTGCGGATCGGTCGAGTTCCTACATGCGTTTGCATTTGCCTCCCTGAAATCCCCACAATTCGCGTCCTACTCTGAAAAAGAGAAAGACGATATCGCACACGAGACCCGCAAACAAACGAGCAGGTCACAAGTTTCTCCACACCGTTTTCTGCCTCTGCTGCCTTCGCACCATGTCAAAGTTTTGGTTTGTTTGAAGCGATCGTTCCTCAGTCAGCATTCGTAATGGATAGCCCGCTCTCTTTACCCACACCCATGGCCGCTCCGATGTCCCAGGTCAAGCCGCCACAGCTGCAGCGCGGTACTGCCTCTCTCCGACAGCCACCGGTTGATCCGCGTAATGCTTCCAATCTTTTGCGTAAGGTTTTCAAGAAGGGCTGGGATCCTCTGCCCACAGCGCAAAAGTTACATACCGAGTAAATAACACCTCACTCCAGGAAGGTGCTTGCAGTGACTAACGATAATATTCAGGCACGCTGAGTTGTTGCTTGATACGCCAATTGGTCGCGACTTTACTCTGATCACTGTTGCTGGTGTGGAGTTTCAGGTACATTCCATCATGTTGATTGGCGGCTCGAAGGCGTTGCAGGAGGGGCTATTTCCAGGTGGTGTAAGATTACCTCTTTTTTGTTCGCCTCCAACCTAGTTAGGATCATATCCTTGGGTTGATGAGCTGCTACTGGGACCTCAGGCGTCGTAGATTGAAGGCTGACATGACCAGGCGATGAGCCCTAACCGACCAGGTTGTGTAAATTTGCCGGCTCACTTTCATCCTATCCTCGTAGACCGCATTGTCAATTTCAGTAAGTGTCGCGTACGTTGGTGAATTTGAAAAACATACTGATCCATAGCATAGTCTACACATCAGACTATAGGTTCCTTCCAGGCTCAGAAGGCGGCCAACTCAAGCAGACCACCTTCAAATTCTATCATGCAACTCTCATCCCGAACGAGATTCCACCCTCACCTGCCACAGTTGCCCTCGTCGGTATTGCCGAATATGCATACCATCTCCACATCTACGCCCTGGCAGAGGAATTGGACTACAATACACTGAGATCAGCTGCGCACGCGAAGCTCGTCGAACTATTGGTATTCCGTTCTTCCAATCCCGAAGTTCTCAAAGAGGCCATCAAGACTATCTTAGCCCCGACCGGGACCGCGGAGCGCATCTGCAAAGACGAGGATGGTGCGTTGCAGCAACTTGTCGTCGCGGCTGTCCTTGCACAAGAGGCTAAGCATTGGACGGAAGTACAGCTTACAGGTTTTCTCGACAGTATCCAAGATCCAGCATATGGGGATTTCCGTAAGATCTATACTACCGTCAAGGAAGACACTGAGGACCTCATCAAGCAGGCCGCTATCGCGAAGCATTTGGCGGCAGAGCGCAAGAAGGACCGGGAACGTAGGAAGGCGGCTAACTCTAAGCGTGGCAACGACGGTAAGAACAGGATCTTTGGGAGCGATGGCTCGCCCATGGGCGCCTTAGGTGCACGTCCCATACCATCGAAAGACAAGTTCAAACAAAGGTATGAAGCGAAGCGTGGTGTTGCTAGGTCTGCAAAGGCGGATAAAGACGGAGACATGGATATGGAGGTTGACTAGGCTGTCCTAATATCGAGGCAGCATATACTTGTGCATATCACTGTCACATACCTTTCTTAGTCTGGTCATCTTGCGACTGAACTCCCGAGACGATATTGCGGCGGGCTTAGTACTTTCATAGGGTCAGATTCTTTAGCCATCAATGCGGCGTTTGGTCCTCTCAGATATGATCGAACTTGGAAGCATTCTTTCGCGATCAAGTATCTAGTATAGTAATCCATGAATGAGGTATATGTTATACCTGAAATTGAAAGTCACCAACTGTGCATAACCAGATTTCATAGTCAGATTACGCCAATTTGAGCTGTTATGTTCGTATGCTACTCTATCGTCATGATGTTGCAGCTCGTGGTGTCTGAGTTGTATCCTGAAAGTTATCTAGGTAAAAGCTAAGTCTAAAGGCATACGTAGTATTTTACGTCTAAAACATATTTAAATGGTAGCAGAGTTTGTCTTGAGGATGCAAATTGATAACAACGAGCTTCTCCATCGCAGACATGTCCAAGGTTCCGCCACTTTGAATGAACTTTGACATCACCCGTACGTGCTCAATGAGGAGCATATATTTCGTAAGTTGCGGTAGGCAGAATCTACTCAGAGAGTATTCGCTATGATTCACATCACTGTGCTGGCGGAGGAAGGTTCCGTAAACACAGTCAGGATATGGAAATATCAATCGTTCAGGCAACTGGCAAGTGAGAGGCTGCCTCATTTGCTGCGTGTAGTGAATTTGCAGTCGGGACTTTCCTCCGACTTCCGCCCGAACGCCCCCAACATCATTTTCCGTCTCTACACGTCCCCGCCAGCAACATATAATTCCCCAGCCAATCACCACATATTTGCCATTGTTCGAGCATCGCTAGTCTCTGGTTTATCTCTCTTGTTTCTGCGATACCCAATCGCGCTCAAGTACCTGTTCTCATGGCGTGCAACAGCTGGGAGAAATTGTGCAAGGCTCAGCGCGATTACCCCAAACCGAAGTTCGCAGATTCCTTCGTGCAAAAGTCGCTCAAGAAGACACCCAAAAACCCATTTCTCCTGGTAAGCTATTCTGAGCTTGATATTACGTTGCCACGCTAAATTTTGAGCAGGCATGGAAAGCTCGTCTAGGTCTCACACTCAACCATGGACACAACGATGTTGTAAATCTAGTCCAACAGGCCTGGGAACAGCCAGGAGTAGATGATGTTCGGTTGCTTTCTTACCTATACCAAATCCTAGCGGAAGCAACGCGGAGAGACCAGGGTAACAACCTTAACATCAGCGGAGTGGGCGACGGCAACCTCAAAATTTGGCAACGTGCTGCGAAAGCGTTGGGCCGTAAAGAAGATCGTCAAGAACTCTGGTCTGCCTTGGGCAAAGTAGCATTGGCTGAGGAATGCTGGGAGGACTTCCGCCTGGTACGTAAGAAGTCGAAACTGGCCCCTCATATGAGTGACTCGGGGCCATCAGGAGACATAATTCTCCTAGTGCCTTCTTCTTACAACGGAGAATTACATGATACTATTGGACATATCTTTGATGCCACTTGCTAACATACGACAGGCTGTCTTTCACTACAGCAAGGAGACTAAGGATAGCACTGGATCAGTGTCAGCGAAGAAGCATGCTCACTTCACGCAAATACTTGCTATTCAACTCGCTGCCGAACAGCAGCGCGGACTTCCATCAGGCGAGATGAAAAGTAAGCTACAATCCGACCTGGCTCGTAGACTCATGAAGCAAGCATACGAGGCGGCTCCTGATGACCCGATCGCATTCAAAGACATACGCGATCTACGCTTCATGGGTGAGATTTTCGCGCGGCAAGGCAAATGTAATGAGCTGTTAGAGCACTGGGATCAGCCGCCTGCAGCCCTCCAGGACCTAATGACCAGGCATCAGGGTGATTTGTGGGATATGAGAATCAGACTTCCAAAAAACAGTGGAGAGTGGTCTCTGCTTGAAAGCCAGTGTCTTGCGTATATTGAGCGTGTGATATCGCACCAAGAAAGGTATGTTATTGTAGAGGAGAGGCTACAGCTCACAACGGCAGCTACGGATCTCTGCCATTCCTCAAGACAGTCGCTAACATGATTAGCCTTCGAGAAACTTGCGCCTGGAGGCAAGATGTTTGGACAAGTTTGCTACAAGCCGCTCGAGCAACACGTGTCAAAGACGATAGCATTCGCCTTATCTCCGATGTCATACGCCGCACTTTCAAGCCGGATGAATTCCAAACCCAGGACCGTAGCCTAAGATTGGCGTACATGAAACTTCGTCAGACTGTTGTCCCAGGAACTACGATGTTAGCCGACTGTGAGGCTTACTGGAAAGCCCATGCGAATCTCATCACTTGTTATGCGGACATCCGTCCGTTTGTGGAAGCATTGAGTAGAGAGGACCGTCACGCGTTTTCAAATTTTGTGGACGCGGAATGGAATGAGATATTCAAGTTGTCAGCGGAAAACAAATATCCGTACCAAGACGTGGTTACCTATCACGGAAACCGCCTGAAGCTATCCTATCTCCTGTGGATATCACTGACGACAAAGCCGAGTTCGAAATGGCAGGATTATATGGAAGTGCCTTTGTCCATCGCATTGACAGCCCCCTGGTTACGCTCTCCTAAGTCTTCAGAAGGTATCGTCGGGATCTACATCCTCCTCCAGATGCATCGTAACGCTATGCATAACAAAGAAGATGCTCATCCTTTCGGAACAACGCCAAACTCGCGACTCCTCCTTCAAGCTACGATGCTCGCACGTCATCTGGTGGCTTGCGATAAAGAGAAGCAGGACAGGCCACTAGCACTACTTGCTGCACGAATGCACCTGAACCTCGGCCTGGGGAAATGTGCCTTCCAATTGTACAGCCATACCAAGTGCAAGGAAATGCTGGTGCACACATTGTCGCCCTATGTTCTGTCTCGGATCTCATTGACACACCCATTTGGTGCTAAAGGTTATCAAGGATTCTCGGCGGAAGAAGAACTTGGCAAAGCTGTTGGCACTATGGAGAGAATGGAACGCAAGATTGACGATACTTTATATGCTGATTTGCAATCGCTTCCTTGGGACCAAGCTATGGAACTTCTGGGTATGAAGCGGAAATTCAAATCGAGCTTGACAAAGCACATATGCAACGTCGAGCGCCGCCGCATATCACGATTAAAGGGCGAGCCGATTGATAATTTGCCGGTTGTGGACCCGGGTAGTAAGTGTCTTTCAAGTTGTAGTTGATCGCCGGCTAATTCACGTAGGCTACCGACACATATCCGACAACGTGGATAGGTCCGTATTCCCCAACTACGAGCACTCTCGTTCTCCTGGACCACTTCCATACATCATGCCCAACACGATTCCTAATATCAACTGGCTATGTGAAAGCCTTGATACCTGGGATGCGAGCAGTAGACTACTCTATAGAGAGACACAAACGCGGGAACTTCAGGGTGCATGGATACGCTCGGCTGCCACACCTCAGAGTCACATCAAAGAAACTGAACATAACATGACACCTGCGGAATCCACAGCTCACGGAATCTGGGACTATATCAACTCTATCGTTGAGATGATGCTGTTGGAAGATTCCCCCCGACTTGCGTCCCCAGAGCTGCTCTCTTCCATAATAAAAGTACTACCGGAAGAAATACATGCGATGCGAGTCGCAATGGAAAAACTACGTATGCCCGGCGCTACCAACTTGAAACTCGAAGACGAGCCTACTATGTTCCACGAGAACATGCTCATCTCTTGCTACACCAAGTTCGAAGTTCTTCGCGCGCTCATCAAGCTGGTCGAGCACATACGCGAGAAAGTCATCAACTCGAAGACTCATAACATGAAGGCCAAGTTGTCGAAAGACTGGGTCAATGACATAGAGAGCAAGACAAAGATCTGCTTCGAGGCGATACGTGATGTCGCGCAGAGCTATATCAAGCTTATCGAGACGAAGGGCCAAGCTGCAATCAAGGCGCAGATACGGTGGGGCAAGACGGGCGAGATTTTGAAAGAAGTGCTAAATGACGACGATGTCGACTTCTACGCCGCCGAATACGTTGACAGTGCTCTGCAAGCTTGGAAAGGTGTGCTGCAGGTTAAGCTTAAGTAGACAGACAGACTGCGAATGCAACCACACTTGTCTTCCATATGCTTCTTTCCTATGCGGCTTTCTGTAAAGAGGTTCCAACGGGACGAATAGACATTGGTCAGCAGCTTTTCCGTTCACGAAGGTGTTCTAGTTTTCATCGTAAGTTTAACGACAAAGCATACAAATACTCCGCCTTTGATATCAGCTTGACAACCAAACCACCAGTGTATATATAAGTGTCGTTATCTGGTTCATCTGTAGGTATCAGCACCATTCTATACGCCTCCTCATACGGTTCAGTCGATCCAATACTAACCCTTTCTACATTTGCTCAAGAAATCATGAACAAAAAATAACTCGCTCTAGAAACTTGGTCGCCTTTCCACACAAGCACCGTCATGATTGCAGCGATCCCACGCTACTGGTAACTGCCATCGAGGTTACATTGAGATATTTCTGCCTTCTTCATAAGGAATACAGGCCTGTTGTCGTCTGCTGCTGCATATGCCACCATGAATCGCATGAACAGTGAATGCGAGATCCAGATGGCACCGTTGCTAAATGCTAGTGTTCATAAAGACAAGGATTGCAAATGCCGAGGAAGTGGCCTACGAATGGGACGTTGGAGAGCTACGTTGGACGATAAAATTGTTTTGATAGACAATATGGCTGGGGATGGCATCCGACAACGAGTAGAATCGTGTTGCCATGTTCTTAGCTCATCCAATATCTATCGATACTGCAGCAAGTAGTTTTTGTGTCATCTAGACGTTGTTTCATCATAGTCAGCGGCGACTGAATGAGGAAGTAAAGGCTGCACATCCTCGCACTTTCACGCTTATCACTCAGCTGCAGCCATCGCCTGCATCTTGGTTTCCAGGTTGGACCATGTGCACGTGCTAGCGGTGATTGTTTAGATGTCGTTCACTTTGTCGAATCTTCTGGCTCCACAGTGAAGACGCAAACGCTGTATTCCCACACGCAACCCACGTTCACCTCATTTTTAGCTCTACTGCCATTAACATATTGTTCACTGAAAGTTGCTTCAGGTCAAACTATTACTGCCAGCTTGACCTGTTGTTTCGCTCAGCTTTGCCGCGAGTCCATCTTTTGCACTGGTGAACGCTTTACTGTCAATACCGCGCAAGCCTTTCGCAGTCATCTCCGCGGGTACAATGTCTGACGGTCATCAATCAGGCGAACACTCTGAAGTCTCGCGCCCGGAGCGAGTGGACTCCCTCGCAAAATCCAAAGACCAACAGCACCTGGTGATGAGCCTACCAAACATCTCAATCAGTAACCCGGATGGCGATAAGATGAGTCAGTTGGCAGAATCTGGAGAATCTGCTCAGAGAGCTCGGTATGAGGGTCTAAGGTATTCAATCGACATGACTGGAGGAAGCTACAAATATGCAGGACTAGGGCTGACGAGGAAACTCCCTGGTAGTGTCGCACGCGCACGAGCTCAAGCAGAGCGTCGACTACAAGAGAGCAAGATACAGCAGAACAATACCACTCCGCCCACAAGCTTTACACCGAAGTATACCGGAGACTCGCTGGCCACGATGGAGAAGACTGTCCGAGATCGCCACAACGGGCCTGCTACATCCGCGCCTAACAACCAGTCTTTCACTTCCGCCTACTCCAGTAGTGACAAACAAACAGTCTCAAATGTCATGGCTTTCTCTAACGATGAGAACGTGGTACCAAAATCCGATAGCAAGTGGCGCTGTTGCAAGTGTCACCGCGGTCACGAGATTCACAGCTTCGCACAAGGCCAACATCCAGTCAGCGTCTTGAGCTGCGAATGCACACATCGATCTTGTTCGAAGTGCAAGCTAGAAGGCCTGGTCAAGCAATTCGTACCGATGAGCGAGCCGGAGTTAATCCCGTTGTCCGAAGATGATAGTAAAGCTATACGGTTCGGTGTATTCTGCGAAGGCTGTGGTTTATCCTGGCGCGCAGAGAAAGCCCAGGACAAGGTCAAAAAGACGACAATGTACAAGTCGGCACTGCTACGTGTGGCTGCAATTCCTAGGCGACTAGCGATACGCGGTGGTGCACACCCTCTGGAGCGCCTCCGACCTAGTCGGTCGATGAACAACCTTAACGATCACGCAGAGAGGGAGCCTTCTGATGTATCGATCGCCTCTTCCAGGTCCGTCACAAGTCTCCTCAGCTTCCGATCTCTCTCTCGCGAGATGAAGAAAGAATATGGAGAGCAGGCCGAATCTGTTTTTGTCAAGTTCACCCGTATCAAGTGTACCTGCGGCATGATTACTGAAGCTTCTTCTCTCTGTTTCCAGATCGTGGATCCGCCGAAAGACTTTCGCGAGGTTCAGTGTGCAAAGCAAGTGGTCGCGCGCAATGTGGCTGGGTTTGGCAGTACACCGGAAGATAGGGCGAGAGGACATGGTACGCCGACCTTGACGTTGAAGGGAGGGCGCCACCCGAATCCCCTCAGGAGCAACCCTGTGGAGTAAAACGACACTGAATCAAGTAGTGGTAGTATTTCTGCTGTAATACTGGGAGTATGGATTCGGTCAAAGGAAGGATGGGGTCGCAAGGTAGCGTCTGGGGTTCGCATGTATTGAGCCGAATTTGAGGCCGCCAAGGTCTAGGATCTCGTAAGGCCGTCCATGCTCCATCTCCGTACCTTGAGTGTTTTCTTCAGGGGTCGTGGATGAATTGCTCAGGCGCAGTAGGATTAGCATGTCCACCTCTTACCTGAAAGATTCACATAAGCGGACGTTGGTCATACGTCGTTTGAACTTGTAGGCAGATGTGACCTGACAGTTCATCGGGTTTCCTGAGCCTGTCGATCGTAAGTGATGAGATTATCATGAGGGAGGTAATATTCAGGCCAATCCTCAGTCTTTTGATCAATCTTGGTGTTGTGCCTGTGACAACATCGCCACAATATGCCGTCGTTCGTGACCCCATGTTTCATACAATGAACATGGAAAATTCTCATGACGTTTTTGAAGTCAAACTGACACTTTGTAAGCGTGACTGATGATGGTTGATGTGACTCGTGTTGTTCAGCTCCTCCGCGCTCACATGTGCTTCAGCTCCAACCTCAGCCGCCGTAATTTATCGTGATAGCTCCTTCGGACATCGAGACCTTGAATACCAACGTTGAGATCGCCGTATCACTTACCTCATAAATTATCACGGATTTCTATGATCGAGACGACGGCTGTGAGTGATCTGGTTACTGCCTTGAATGACAGCCTTAAAGACAGCCTCACCACTAGCACCGAGGGCACAAAAGAGGGGAACAGGAACCAGCCACACTTCGCCACACATGAATCATTCTAGTGTACAAGCAACATCCTAAAGAACAGAGTCGGTGTATACATATTAGCACGTGTATTATGACCGATCTTAATTACCGGCGCGAACTATCAGGCGCCCTTGGAGGCGCAGTTTGTGGACCCATGTCGCAGCCTGGCGCCAAACATTCAAGCTGCAGCCTCAAGAAATCGCAAATAAGATGCGCACACTTATGCTCTTTGTAACGTGTGTGCCCGTCGATTGAAGTCAGAGTTTCACCGTTCAAACACTCATCTGCGACGCTTGCCAACATTGTCTGTGTCCGTTTGCATCGTTCCACGAGTGCTCAAAGACCCAAGACATAAGCAGTCAAGGGGTCCAGTTATGTCATTGGTCAAGTATGACTTAGCCCCACCAAACGACCATCAAACAACCAAGGCACCCAACTAACATCTATTCGCAGCTTCCACTCTCTTCATCAGCCTTTTTCCTGCACCACTCTGGCCCGAGCAGCTACTCTTCCGACAAAATCCGAGGTTTCTATTGCTAAAGATCGACTTCAGCAGCTGACCGGTCACCTCATGAGGAGCCATACAACCTGGTCTAAGATCGTCGAGAAGTTCGTAGGCAAGGACGAGAAAACCGGTAGCGAACCTACCAAGGCGAACATGCCCGAAGAAGCAACAAAGGAGCTGGCTGCTGATATGGTCAAATCTCCCGGTATGACGAGTATTGATAAGGTGGTTGAAGACAAAAAGAATCAACTTCCGCCTTGGCCATCACCAGTACCAACACCACACAAAGATTTTGTGCACTCTAATCCTCCGGAACCACCTAAATACCGCAAGTTTACTGTCTTTACCGCTGGAAGCATAGAGATGGGTGATGCAGTCAACTGGCAGCCCTTGATGGCAACCATGCTTAATCACTTGCCTATCACCGTGTGCAATCCTCGAAAAGGCTCCTGGGATCAAAGCATTAAGCAGCAAGCCAAGGATGAACTCTTCAAACAGCAAGTTGTATGGGAGCTAGGTGCGCTAGAACAAGCAGATGTCATCTGTTTCTTCTTCGATACCGAGACCAAGAGCCCAGTGTCCCTGCTTGAGCTAGGTGTCTGGGCTGCGTCCGATAAGGTTATCGTTTGCTGCGGCGATGCATACTGGAAATCAGGAAACGTCCACCTCACATGCGAGAGATACGATGTCCCATGTGTCAAAAACTTCACAGAATTGGTACCCTTGGTTGAGGAGATGCTCAAGAAGAAGGGCATGGAGCTTGACAACAAGGGCGACTTGATCGGAGAAAACGTGCACGTACCCAAAGAAAAGCCGAAGAAGAAAACACAGCTCGAGGCAGAGAAAGCTGAGTTGCAGAAGCAAGTGGATGATCTGCTAGCTAAGCTGGCGGCACAGCCTAAGATGTGATCAAGACATAATCTTAGATGGCTGCGGTGCCCTTGGTCCTACTGGCGTTGGCGGATATCTGTGCATGTTTGATACCAAGTGGCTTGGGCGGATATGTCGATTGTTGGTCTAGTCTTTTTATAACTTTGTCTCTGTCTAATCCATGAGTATACGTCTCGATGTCCGGGGTTTCCGCACCCCTTCTAACTGCCTATTATGAAGATAAGATAAATGATAGTCGAATTACACCGATACCCTTTTCGTTCTCTTCTTGTGCCTCATCGTCAAATACTAGACCATGAAAACGGTGTATTTGCTTCAACGATCTGACGAAATCTCGAGACCTTTATTCCCATTCAGTTCCCCAATAGGTCAAGATATTGGGCGGATACGTATCACGGACTACTCGCTACGCATCTCGAAAACTTGCTCGAAAGCTTGAACAAGGAACCTTTGCAAGCCATGGAAACACCTGTCTGGGCATGTCGAGTAACATAGCTGGTTCCAGATCCTCTTGCACCCAAAGAGCAGGTAGGTGAGTGGGTGAGTAAAAGCGGAGCGATCCCACATCATATGGTTCTGCACTCTGGCCATCAGTTGATAAGCCAGGCTCAGTAACAGTCTGTGTCACTGGCTGCCTTTGATGAGATGCTGCGTCCACATGTCTTTCCCCCATTCCTCAACCTACCTCGACATCAAACGCAACCCTAACCCACAGACTGCACCCTAAACACCCCACCAGAACCTCTTTCTCATCCCTTGCCTCCGCATCCTCTAGCTCTTCTTCGAGTATACTAAAACCCTTTTCCGCACCACACCGACAAGCTCTTGTCCATGTCGTTTGTTCCGGACTATTCGTGTCTGCAGACGTATCCCCATCCTCTGGTTCCCAGACCTCAAAGTCCCCAAGATCAAGCAACTCGAGCCCAAGTATGAAATCGCTTGACGGTTGTGTATTCGCGTGCGCATGCGGATCCGCAGTCTTCGACGACGCAAGGCTATCCCGATGATGCAAGAACCAGTTCTCGTATTCCGTCTTCGTTGTTTCGGTTGCGAGGGTTGTGTAGGCTTCTTTCACGTCGTCGACTGTGTATGCGGGCTTCGTCCTTGCCGTCGCGGAGACGGCGCTCGCCTTATCTGGGTGCGCTGCTAACAACGCGACTTTGTACGCTCGACGTAATTCCGCTGGCGATGTTTGCTGTTTCGATGAGGACCAAACTGGCGCAGGCAGTTGCAGGATGTGGTAGTAATCTTTGGAGTATGCCATGGCTTTTGTCTTTGCGCGACAGTCGTAGGTTGCTCTGATGGCATGAAGGTAGGGATCCAAATGAATAGAAACTGCTATACGGAATTATGCGCGACGCTCGCCCTTGGAGGGCTTGTTCGGATTTTTTGCCATACGCGACGCGACATTGGAGACAAAAAAGCTGGGCGGGGAGGGCTGTTCGGCTCCAAATGGTGGGGCAGCGGCTGCCCATTCCACAGGGTCTGGCACATGGAAAAAGGACCGACCAAAGTCCTAAGATCGACGACATATATGCTCCTTGCAGTGAGCCAGAAGTCAACGTACGTCAAGGTTTGAGAGTCACGGCATAGGAGCGAGATATTGAAGTAGCGATTCCTTTGGCTAGCTAAGAGTGCAGTATGATGACATTAAGCCCACTGAGCCTTTCGTACTGCTCTACCGGCCATCGAAACGGATGTCCTGACTCCTAGAATCACCAAGAGGATGTCAAACATCTCTGCCGGTATAGGATCGAGGTGTTTATGTGCTGCCAAAACGAAAACATGGGGGAATTGAGGGTAGCATCCGACGTACCAAACGCAGCCGTATCTTGCCGGTAGCAGCCCGAGACTCTCACGAGGGAAAGCTCAGGAGTACTGTGGTCGTGTGGGAAACGCGACCTCAGCACACTGCGTGCTCGATAGGACAGCGCCGGCGATAGGAGAGTAAAGGGAAATACATTCAGTCATGGGGAATTCGACCGTACCGAACCGCTTGCTGCCAAAGCCAATTTTTGAAATCACACAGAACACGTACAACTCCGTAGGACACTCGCTGCCGGCCCTCTTCGTCTATTCGAGAACAGATGACGATGGCTTAGGATACACAAGGTCGAGATAGAGAGAGTGTGCTTAAGCGGCAGGAGCAGGGGCGGCAGCAGGTGGCTGCTCGTCGGCCTTGGGCTCAGATGCAGCCGGTGCATCCTCAGTGGTCTTGGCCTCCTCCTTGGGTGCGTCAGTGGCACCGGCGGCCTCGCCCTCGTTGCCGTCTGATGACGTCCAGAGAGTGAGGTTGTCACGGAGGAGCTGCATGATGAGGGTGCTGTCGCGGTAGGACTCCTCGGAGAGAGAGTCAAGCTCAGCAATGGCGTCGTCGAAAGCCTGCTTGGCAAGGTGGCAAGCACGGTCGGGCGAGTTCAGGATCTCGTAGTAGAAGACCGAGAAGTTCAGCGCAAGGCCGAGACGGATGGGGTGGGTAGGTGTGAGCTCAGTCTGGGCAACGTCGGTGGCCGTCTGTGTAGTGGGGTTAGGTGGCTGTTATTGCACTCTGTATTGATTGCGTCATACCTTGTAGGCCTCGTGTGCAGCAGTCGCAGCAACCTTGCGCTTCTCACCGGAAGCGAATTCGGCGAGGTAGCGGTGGTAGTCTCCCTTCCTGTGCCGGTGTTAGCCTTGTTTGCCGCAGATGTAGCGGTGTGGACGCACATCTTGTGGTAGAAGACCTTGGACTCGCCAGACTCGGCCTTAGGGATGAGGGAGTCGTCGAGGACGTTGAGGACATCCTGGCAGACCTGCTCAAGCTCGGTCTCGATCTTCTGGCGGTAGTCGCGGATGGTGCCGACGTGCTTCTCAGAGCCCTTGGACTCCTCCTTCTGCTCGATCGAGGAAATGATGCGCCACGACGCGCGTCGGGTACCGACAACGTTCTTGTAGGCGACGGACAGAAGGTTGCGCTCGTCAACGGTGAGCTCACCGGCGACCTGTCTCGTTTGTTAGCCTGCGTCAGCGGAGAGCCCGCTGTGGCGAGCGCCTGCTCGCGTGGGAGCGGATGCGGTCGGGCATACCTTGGCGACTTCCTGCGAGAATATCAGCATATGAGTACAAATGAGCAGCGATGGCAGAACAACTGACCTTCATGTATGTGACCATCTCTGCAGACTGCGGTTAGCTTGCGCGGCCGTAGCTGGGAGCGCGCGGAGACTTACCATCGTAACGCTCAGCCTGTTCGCACAGCCGGGCGAGGAAAGTCTTGCTATTGCGACGTCAATTACGGGCGGGCGCTGGAAGCAGCAGCTGTCTCGTACCTCTCACGCTGTCTGGCGTTAGTCCATGTCGCTGGCTTGTAGTTTATCGGGGCTCAGAGGGGCATCCCGCCGGGGGACAACAGCGGGGGGGGATGGGGCAGAATCAGCACCACGTACCTCAGTCGCCATTGTGATGGTTGAGTTGATGTGTGTTTGGGTAATCGGGAGACTGTGGGGGTGGGTGCAGATGCGTATGGAAGGATAGACGGTGGGCGGACTTGTTGAGGTGTTTGTGTGGATCAACGAACAGAAGAGGATCGAAGTTGTTTTGAGGAAGCGAGCGTCTGCCCTAAGACAGACCGGGGGGCCGTGCGCAGAGCGAACAACACCACCCCGTCGACTGCGCCTTCCCCCAATTGGCGCCTGGGCTGCCATTCACATGATGTCTTGCCCCGTTTACACGCTGGCACAGCTTCCTTGACACCCTTCATGCTCCTCACCACTATCAAGTGTCCCTCTATCGCCCCTACAGTTGCGCCCCAATGTCAGCCCTCCATGCCATGTTCGTGGGAGGGAGCTGGCAATGAGGGGTACACGGGCACGTGAGCAGCTCCAGGGTCTGCCCTTTCACCGGCCACCCCCTTCAGCTACCTCACTCGCTCCCTAAAGTCTTGATTCGCGGCTTGTGCCATTGCGTCGTCCTGCACTCATCTTACTCCAGTTTGCCTTCAACGTCTACATCCACCCGTCACACCAGTCGAGCTCTGAAGCGCGGCCGCCAGCGAGAGGCTGGCTCCTAGACTGCCGTCCCATGTCCAAGTGGGGGCCAATCAGTGCACCTTGGAAACAGCTAGAAAACCTGGACGGAAGCTGTTGCGTTGCGACCTCTCTGCGCCATGATTCGTGTCACGTTGCGGTCAAGTACCACGGCCAAATCCCAGAGACCAGAGCCGCTAGCTCTCCGTGTCACATGTGGCTGATGCACATGTATCCACACAGCAGCTGCACGCTACTCAATATCGGCGCGCATGTTGTGAATTTGCCTGAATACCAAGGCAGTCGTTTGTATCTAACTGTTCACACGGGCAGCGTTGTTCCCGCCCGCTGCATATGCACGCCACAACGTCTTATCTAAAACCAACCGTTTTCATCTCGGCATCACCTCATCGTGCACGGCTGCCATGGGGCCCTTCGTCCGTTGCACCCGTGAACTGCATTGACGGGTACTGTAGCACATTTATGGCGCGGCGCAGGGCCATGGCTGTACACTGGAGCTTTTGTAGCTCTTTGAAGCAGTTTCATAACTGCCATTGCATCGTGCTTCACATTAACAACCGCCACACACCCAACATCAACGCCGCAGTACCAGTGCAGACTCCCATCAGCCACTGTAGCGTTGAGAATTTGACGGCCTCTAGTCTCTCCCTCAGCTGCGCCGTCTCCTGCTCAATCCTTGTCTCCGTCTCCTTGAGCTTCAGTTCCTGCACGTTTGCCTCTTCTCTAATGCGCCCCTTCTCTAGGTTCAAGTCTAGCCTCACCGATGCCTGTGTCCGTTGTATCTCGTCCCGTAAGCGCGAATTCAGCTTTGCGAGCTCGTTTGTAAGACGCTCATGCGATGCGCGCGTGAGGCTGGATTCAGTCGAGTCGGCCGTCATGAGTTCGGAGCGGAGTTTGGCAAAGTCGACTTTCTGCGTGTAGGTGGCTTTCTCTTGGTCTTCACGAAGGACCATGGTGCGTGTGAGGTTTTGGATGCTGTACAAGTTAGTTGGCCATTTTTGAAAAGTAGTGCAGTGACTTGCCTCTCCTCGATTACATCGCCGAGAACCCTCATCATGCCCTCGGCTTGCTCTTCTGTGAAACCTTCCTCCTTCAATCGCTGCACAAACTTGAGCGTGTCGAAGTGATGGTCCTTGGAATGCTGTGCAGTTGCGCTGAAGTTGCGCCGAAACTCCAGAGCCGATGCATGACCGCTTGCATATTGTGGTGATGTCTTTGGCCACAGTGTACGTGTTCGTGCTTGGAGTGGTAATGACTTCGGAAAGGCAGCGCGACTCTCGGAAGCTATACAGGACCTATGCCGACCCTGCTCCAGTGCACCCAGCGCTGCTGGCCGTGACACCCTGGCGGGCCATGATATCTGCGGTAGAAGGAATCGTGGTATCGCTGTCGCTTGTCTTGCAGGAGCTGCCATGTTGTGGATGTTGTGGTTTCGGTCCCGTCTCGCTGTCGAGAATTCAAAGGCCGCGGATAGCCATAGCCAAGCCTTGCAGATGTCATTGCCGAATTGGGAAAACCATTCCACGCCTCCAAGACTCTACAAAGTTTCGAGCTTACGAGATTTCTGTTGAGATTATCATTAGAGGAGCTTGGTCATGTGTCGTTGGTGGATGCATAGAAAAGCTGTTCATCATTGCTTGATATCATATTGAAAGAGTTCGCCCAACATTCCACCCTGAAAGCATATACAACGCTTGCTATGCATCCTATCGCTGAATAAGAAGAAAACAGAAAATCAACCATCCGTCTATCTACCATACTCCAAGCTGGGCACGATGACTGGTCCGTACTTCATGGGCGCACTATATCCACCATCGTTTTGCACCATAAAGTCGACTGCCAGGCTCAACTTGCCACTACCATGCCCAGGGACCGCCTGACCAAACGTCCCATTGACGATCTCTGGATCATAAATGACGCATGCAACGTAGTTCCTTCTTCCCATTAGTCTCTTGTACTCTCGTGGCTGACCGTTGACATCTTGAGTGAAGATTTCCATCATGTCTTCCTTGGTGTCGCTCGGTTGATTGTTGCTGCGATGTCCGTTCTGGGGTACGTAGAGGGCACGGTTGTTATGGAGTAGTCGCAATACATAGTTTCCAGGCGGACCGTTGACCACTGATGATGAGATGATTTGGTACATTGTCTTGTGGTCTTGAGGTCTCGACGGGTCGTGAACAAGACCAGCACCACAACAGTCGACCGCACCAGAGAAGAACGTCATCCGTAACGACTTGTTGTGGGCGATGCCTTGGAGTGTACGGATCAAGTACGTTCGTTCAAGGTCCTACGACATGTTAGTAAATTGGATCACAGTAGTTAGGAGCTACCAACCTTTGAATCGTGCGTCCACTGATCTCTTAGCTCGTCAAGCAGATCAATTTCTCCAAAAGGACTCAAGACTCCACTCATCAGACCGGACTTGCCAATAGCTTTCTTGACAGAATTGAAGCCATCGCCAACGACACTCTTAGCACCAACGACACCAGCGACACCAGCCGTCACCTTTCCAAGCATGTTGAAAGTGCCAGTGACGGCTTTCTTACCAGTGGCCATTGAGTGAGCGAGATGTTCCACAGACTCCAGGCGAGGATAGACAATAGGAACAGGAACCATCCAGATGCAGTGCTGAACACTCGGCGGCAATGTCGCAACTTTAGGGAAGATACCTTGATACGTCGGCCCTGCCATGACTTGATGCGGGTTGCGCTCAGAGCGACAATCAGGCCCAACAACTGTGACACAAGGACCCAGGTACTTGATAAAATGCCAGCCTGTACCTGTAACAGTGAAAAGGTCCATGTCGTTGTTGACATTTCGGAGGATCTCCAGCGTCGTGTGGTGTTGGAAGAGCAGGTACATCTCAATACCCAATCTTCCGATGTTCTTGAACATGTTCGAGAACTGCATGTACTCAGGATATGATCCAAAGCCATCGAAACTAGACATCGTTAGAACTGCTTGCTGTTTCACACTTAAAATGCACTTACATGTCATGGTCATCCAGAGCAAGGATGTGAGGTATCTGTGCGAACGCTTCACGCAAATGTGGCTGATCGAAGTGACTTGTGTAGTAATGGAAGTATGCGTGGCAAACATCTTCTTCATGCTTCGCAGTCCACGGCGCATTCTTCCGGATCTCTTTCCCACTTGTCGCCGTCCATTGCTTTAGTAGAGGAAGTTCTTTCCATAGTCGGTCGGCGTAAATTTGGCCACCAAGACCCAGCTGTACATGGAAGCCACCACACTCGGCATTCTTCTGTAGGATATCCTTCCACATCAGACCCACACCGCCGAGCTTCGCTCTCTCGTTAGCATTGACGTTCAATGCAAAGTCGTTGCCAGAATGAGCGATGAATCGCCAGCTTGTCTCATGTCGTCCTGCTACCAAGAACTCAAAGCGAGTGCAGCCCAGGTGGGAAGTGATGGCATAGGTCCACTTCGCTGCATGCTCTTCTTCCATCCTCAGGTCGATATCATATCGATAAAAGATCCATGTTTGATGTGTGTAGATAGGATTGGCTTTGAGTTGTCGTGGATTAGGGGACAAATCTGTGCTCTGATGAATGTGAATTGTAGGTGGATGGGGCGTGTTTGTGATAAGCAGGATTGAACCTAGCCACAGACCCCGTTCAATGTCCATGTTGGTGTATCTGAGGTAGGGTCCAAAGTAGACGCCATTGGTAGGAGCGACCTTGTATTGATCCACACCAGCCACCGGAGGTGGCCCAGTGAAGCCGGCGGTAGTGGTTGGAGTTGCAAGCGGTGCCATGCCAAAGTCTCCAGGAAAAGTAGCAGTTTGTGGAGCAAAACCAGGCGATGCGATAGGGGCCTTGCCAAAGGATGGAGATGCCAAAGGACCGCCGACGAATGTACCTGTTGGAGACATGGGCTCGTTCAAGTTCAAAGGTGTCGGGCCTTTGGGAAATTCCCACTGTGTAGATTGTGTGGGCAAATGAATATAGTAATACTGGCCGGAGCTGGGGTCCAGATGTGCTATCCAGCCCTCAGGAAGCGGTGGAGGCGAGGCAGGCCCGGGTCCTGGACCAGGAGCCGGACTTGGTGTGTGGGTGGGCTGGGCAGTTTGTATTTGAGGAGGGAATTGGTTTTGCGTAGGCGTTGGTGCGACCACGGTAGCAGGTTGTGAGGGTCCAGGTTGCGGGCGCGTATCGTTGGCAAACGCAGGATGACCTTGGTTGGGGTCAGAGAAACTAACGCCTTGAGCTACTGGTTGTTGGCCCTTCTCGTTGGGATAGCTGTTGGCTTGTCCTGTTGGCGGGGTTGTGATACTTGAGTACGCTGGTGGTGGCTCTTCATTCAGGTTCATACGTCCCATCTCGTGATTGAGTGGGTGTTCTGGGGGTACGTTCGTGTGCGGAACATTTGTAGGAGGAGGCGAAAATCGAGTGTTTGGTGCCTGTGGAAGAGGACCCTGTGGAGGGGTGCTCGAGGGAGGAACCTGATCCATACCCTGGTATACCGCCGGTGGACCATGTGGATTGCCTCCGGGTTGCTCGGTGGGTGTCCATGGTCTCCTCACTGGTTGTTGCTGGCTCGGCTGTGGGGTTGAGAGAGCGGGTCTGGGCTGCTGGTTGGCATAGATCTGGTTGCGCTGAGCAGCTGCCGCGTTCTGGGCACTTTGCGCTTGGAGGTTGGTGAGGGTGGAGGTTCCTGCAATGCCAGCTGCGGCAAAGCGCGCTTCTATGCCACCGCCAGAGGGAGGAATAATGGGTGTCTCGGGGGGTGGTGGAGAGCCTCTCTGTGCTCTTACAGTGGACGTCGAAGCAGTGGAACTCATGCGATTGACGTCCATGGGCGTAGGCACCTTGAGCACCGGCTCATTCTGGTTAGGACCTGTGTATACGACTGGAGCAGCGGGAGCAGCAGGAGCCGCGCTGGGGCCGGCAGCGGGCGGGGGGAAGTACTGCTGGTGGTATTCGGGATAAGGGTTGTTCGCGCCTACATCTTCACTGCCCTTTCTCTGTGGCGCCTTCTGGAACAGACCCTCTTTGTCAGGAGTCTCTGGGCCTGGCGAGTCTGGGAGTGGCTTTGGCGCTGTTCCTCTTCGCTCTGCCAGGCGTGAAGGCTGGATGGAGCCATCTGGATTCCTTGCGCCATAACCACTTATCGTCGGTCGGTTTGGGTCGTTGGCGTCGAAGCGAGCGCGCTGGCTGGGCGACGTGGGACTTGGTCCTGTCGCACTGGAACCTCTCCTTCGCCCATCGGCGCTCTCAGGGGGCGTGGCATTCTTCGCACGGCGCTCCCTCTCGCTGAGCGGCGTATATCTGCCTGTGCCTAGGGTAGGCTGTACGTTTGGCGGCCGATCCGTGTCGGGGTAGGGAAGAGGGGCGTTGGGCGGACTTGTAGGCGGCGCGGGGAACGAGGGCATGGGCGGAGGGCGCGAGAAGGCGGGCTGGCTCGAGCTGCCGGCCGAGTCTGTTCGCGGGGGCGGGCTCTTGCCATCGCGACCCTTTTGTATCCTCAGAGGACCAACCGTGGGAATGATGGGCGTGTCAGGGTTGTTGTTGTTGCTGTTGTCGTATCGCAAGAAGAGCTCCTCGTCCGGCCGGCCCTGCTTGCGCCCGTCCATGGTGGTGGAACGCGCGACTGTGTGGGTTTACAGCGACAGTACCTGATCGCCGGCGATGGCAGGCGTAAACTTATTTTTGGCTACGGGTGCGGATAGCTCGACGTGCGCAGGGTGTGGGTGTGGATGGCTGCTGCTGTGGGTGGGGTAGTGGCTCGTGGCTCGTGGCTCAATACATATGACGCTGCCGGGCGAGGGGTGCATCAATGGTACATGAATCCGGACCCCTAGGTTTATATGCGAGAAAAAGACGGACCACGGCAAATACGCCTGTCGCCTGCTTGTTTCTACGCGATACTGCTGACTTACGTAGCCTGTCGACCATGGCCCCCTCCAAGAGTTGGGCTGCGGCGGGTCTCTCTATACCCATCACCCTGGGCCTCTGAGCGCTGTCCCATGTGATTGGGCATGTCGACTTTACGCGCTGGCGACCGAATTTGCGGCCACTCCTGATCACACTTGGCGGCGCATACGAGCAGCATCCAGTACCTGATGTGGCACGCGCTACCACCTTGTCCCAGCGAATCAAACCCTCTATCCCCTCAAGCTGTCTGTGGCTGGTGACCTCCACGATCATCGACGCATGGCGGGCCGCGCAGTGCAGCGGGCCGAAATCTCTGTCAACATCCGCGAGGCACGAGTTTTCACTGCTCGGCAGTTTCATCTCTCCAGACATCCCAGCCATCTCTGCGCAAGTAAGAACACGGTTAAGAGTAAACACGCCAGATACGACACCAACGGAGGCTCAGCGCACCATATTCCGCAATATACGTTGTTTAGGATTATGAAATACGCAACATCTATAGAATCTATCAAACTTTTGATCA